GTCGCTCAAAAGCATAATTCCTTATGCCAAATGATCAGAAGTACTAAGAATCAATTGAATATATACTAGTAATCGTTTCGATGTACAGCTAACATGTCATTGCTGACTGTCTCATGGTATTTCATACGTAGATATATCTACATAAACCTGCAGTTCGTATCAAGGGCTCAGGGAATTTGAACAGACTATTATAGACCCTTCAAGTCATGAATGGATTAAACGACCACTCTTGGATTTTTCTTATTGGAAAAATTATATTCAAGCTAAAGACGAAGGATAGAGATGTATTCGTTATACTCATTATTCTGTATGTCAGTTGATTTTTGAATAAACAATATTCTCAAGTTATCACATCCAGGTTTACCGAGAATATTAGTGATGATTGTAATACACATGCACCGGTATCCACGATATATAAAGTACGACTTTTAGGAAATATTTCTCCCTTCAATTACCGTATTTATTCAGTCCAACATGGTCTGTTTATATTAAGGATAACAAATCTAGCATTGCTTGATTATTTCATCTTGGTGCTCTGGTAGCGCTATTAGTAGCAGATTAAACTGTATAACTCGGCAGATCGTTCTGACTTTCACATTTAGTATATGGAGTTTAGTAAATGCCCCATATGATGAGATATTCCATTTTAAGGATAATAAAGCCTCCAGACTGATTTCTGGCTGATTTCTGAGTTACTGCTACTTCAATAGTTAAAGCCTGTCTTGCCTAAGGTTACACAAAATGGAAGCAATACGATTCTTATCTGTTCCAGTTAAGGAGCTATGCTATATTTGTTTTAAGCTCTCTGAGATCTCCAAATTCTTTTTCTATCGGTGTTTCTATTTCTACATGAGTGAGTGTGTAGTAAATCTCAAAGTAACTAATTGAGTTATTGTGGGAGTTTTCACCTTTCTTGGTTTAGAGAGACGTATCGAGTATATCCTATCTTTAATAGAGATGTGCTTAGGTTATTCTATGAAAGGACAGTATGACTAAACAAGGCCCATCAGTTGTTTCTCATATACTAGTTACATTTCATGAGTGCTTGTCCAAGAATTTTTTATGACTTTTGCGGATGCTGCAGTGCTGCTCCCTATGACCCTCGCTGACTTGTTAAATTACGAGCTATCAAGATACATATCTTAGCTGTCGGCGTGTAGATGAGCGTAGTATATATACAATCATACTCTCCCGTTTCTCTACTGGAGGTAGGCAGCATATTATAATTCATGTGCAGAGATACCAACTGAAATGCAGTTTGTTATCTTATTACCCTCTATCTTGAACTATTTATCACAATCAATCTGATTCAAAGGACATTTTCCTCGCATCCTTCCAACCAACCCCCTCTATATATTCGCACTGTTCTCAAAAATGATACTTGAAAATTTTTCACAGGTGATCTCTCCATGTTAAAGTTCCGAAATAGATAAATAAGTTACAGAACTCGTAATCTAGCTCAGCCTAGTAAAATTATTTTGGCGGCGAATTACTCAAGGTAGTTAGATCTATAGCTCCCTGTTCTGACTATTTGTGGTTTATATTCCTTGCTTCAAATGTATCTGCATCACGATATTCGATACTTAGTTATGCAATTTTGACTAATGACGTCTGTTAATACCGTATATAGTATACCAGCTGTACGTCAGTGAAGTTATGATAAATACTACATTAAGCGGTATAGATTTTATTATTCTGGAGACTGATATCATAGTTGTTGGGCGAAGTTAAGCTTGAAAATTGTTAGAGAAACTGTATTTATCTTTTCTCTACCTGGACAATGCCCAATGCCTGGTCATGTTCAGTATTCCTTGAGAGAGTTTCGTTCAGTTACCATACTTGATTTAGAATTTTTACCCTAAGAAGGTCGATTCTATAACAGTATCTAGTATTCGCTGTATTTTATAATCATGTTTAATTATGCTGCTCTCGACGAAGCATAGTAATTCCTCCTATATGAATCGGTAGGTATAGGTTTGCTTCTGTATCTCTAGCTTCTGGTAAACTGTTGGATATTGCTATTTAGTAATTCGCTTGAGTATTTTGGTCTCAGGTGCGGAGCAGACACGGGCTATATAGAAACCTTGTGCTTGTCTTGCGTAGTCCAAATAAAAGATAAATCATTCTGAGCAAGAGTTTAGCTGGAATGGAAATGTACAATAGAATTTTTGACGTTATGGTATATGGACTCCTGCTAGATGCTTGGCGTTGACGGTAGAATATATATTGTTTACGGCGAGAAATTGATATATTTAGGAAAGGTTTTGTTTGGATACTGAAGTTCTCTTCAGTATTATCATATTGTTAGGTTAACTGGTGTGCAGTTTGTGTATGTGAATATCGTATCTAGACTTCCTGGTGGTTAGCATACTCCATTTATACCACTTCCTGAAGCGATAGGATATCTCTATGTACTATGACCATATGTCAGCTTCCCACGATGGCCGTTGTAAGGCGCTGGTTATTGGTATTGGCGACCTGGCTCTCTAGTAGAGCTCTTCTTTGGTTTTCCAGGAGTTGAATATTAACTCTAAGAGTATCGTATATACCCGTATTTGCTCTTCTCTTCTAAGACAATGTAGACTTTACGTAGTAGGCTCATTTAGCTGAGGCTGGATCTGTTTCGTTTTTTATGGTGACGCCGTCGCTCCTCTTGGGTGCGGTGTTTGTATTGGGGCCGATGCAATTTCGACTTTGAAGCTGGTTTGTATTTTGGATTTCTCGTGATGACACAGTACATCTTATTCAAGTATATTTCATAGACCCTTGTCTGGCTTCAATTCAAAGACGGAAAGAAATTAACTATCCTCGCTCGGTCTAACAATTATCCTTGTTGTCTTTTGTGGCGATATTTCTATATCAGAAACTTCAGATGTTTTATAAGGGTGGCTAGTTTTCCGCTTGTGATCTTGGGGTCATTTATCTTTTGGAGAGACGTTTTGTAGGGCCACGTATAGTCCTTAGTTAAAGGATTTACCTCCTTCTCTGTTGGGCCTGTAACAGCTATTCAAATACTAATCGTAGTTTCTCTCTTAAAATACATCTACAAAATATGTATTGTTCTCTGAAATACCCGGACTGCTTGAAGAATTTTGACTTTGCCCCCCTTTTTTTTCCTTTAGACCATACAACGTAAAAGTACGGTTGCGGTAGGATATCCTGAACACGCGCGTTGGTATTAAAAGAATTCATACCCAGTTTTTCTAATGCTTGTTTGATCTCCACCTATTCTGACATGCGCTTGAACGTGTATACAATCTCGTAAAATGTAGCACCTTTCGTGGCGTTTTCTCTCGTTTCTCCCGGTCTCTACCTTTTCACAAAGGTAGGTACCATTTTTGCATAGCTTTGTGGCGGAGTTTGGATATCAACTTGACAATACTGAAAAGCTTGGATTTACTGTTCCATCAAGTCTCTCCAATTTCCAGCATGTCAGAGTCAGGTGATTTTTACGGCTTGGACACTACGTGTTAGACCTTTCCCACTGCTATATTGTACGTATGGCTACGATGTTAACGTTAGTTTTCCTCAGGGTTCTTTACTTACCCCTTGATTCTCTAATTTCACTCCGTCCTCCATTTTACCCCGGATGCGAAAGAAGGTCCAACTGTGAAGATACTGTTTACGTCTCACCCTGTGCCGGTAGCTCTGTGGAACCAGGGTTAATTATTTGAATGTTACTTTCCTGTATAAAGTTTAGTTGCTTTAACTCCGTTAAATATCCTATCTATCTTTTTTCCAAATCTTCCATTTCGGTTCCACAAGGTTATGAATCGTCCCTTATCTGTGGGCTGTTGTTCTGATTGGCTTCATGGCCTTGCTCATGTGGATCACCAGTTCCGCTCTTACCCATAGCACGATTCCCGAAAAAACAAACCTTTCTTCAGTATATTGCAGTCTGGGGTTTACAGCGAGGGGGGAATCGCTAGAGTTCGCCCGGGCTGAGGGGTACGAGTACACAAGGCTGTTCTGGTTTCAGGCGACGGCTGGGGGTATCTGATGGTTAATCAGTATAAGGAACAGTTGTTTTGAATTCCATAGGAGTGGCTGCAAGTCATTGAGGCTGGTGTTGCCAGATTCCAACTCTGGTCGCTACAGCCAGCTGTCTTGGATTTTAGGAATAATTGAAAGTCCGATTACAACAAGTATGGATGTATGTATGAAAGGATAAGCTGTGGTATATCTAGTTGGTACCATTAACTGAGAATGTAGGTAAGAGATATACAAACAGAGGAGGGGCCGAGGACCAGGAGCGATATTGCTATGGTTAGATAGCAATATATGGAAGCGGCTTGAGGAAGATGGAATATCTAAATGCCGTACGATCGATAGTTGTATAGAATATCGTCAGGTTGGATATGTGATAATATATTCTGATAACTCTTACAGGCTCATATGACAACTTTAATACAACAAACGATGGAAGGAACCGGAAAGGGCAGACTCTCACCTTGCATTTGCTACTTGCATGTTCAAAGTGCTCTAGTCATGTCTTGGTTTCAAAACAGCCGTAAGTAGTTTACTTAATGGAGCTACCGGGAACAAGCGGTTTATTCAGATCCACCCCTGGCTCTTGTTGTGAATATACAACTATTGGTCATTCGTAAATAGAGGGGCCATGCGGCCCCACCCTTCCAAAAGCTTTGACGCAGGATGCGGGGATCGCTCCTGTAGCCTCCCCTGTCCATAAATGATGTGATGTCTTAGATTGCGCCCGCATATGGCCCTGTATCTACTATATTGGTGTTTGGGCCAGCCAAAGCCGGCACCATTAAAGCCCTATATAGACCGCAAACATTCATATCCCGTCCCCTCTTTGGTTCCTTGCATGTGACAAAGTTTATATAGGAGTTAATGGGATTATGCAGACTAAACGGCGCTGCAAAGTGTAATGTTTGTAATGTTAGGATATGGTGCCAAGAGCACAGGGTTTCTTGGTTGAGCTGGTTGGCATGTGCATACAGATTTTACAGTTTCGAGGGTATCCCCTATGTGCCGTGAAAGTTTCGAAACACTTTCTGTAGCATTTAACCCGTTTCGGTATCTCTATCGCAACTATAGACTAACTCCGGGGTATGCGTGAATGACCAGTCGCACTAGTTTTACGACCGTTGACTTTCACTTGCAAACATGAAGCTCACAGGCAATGACCCACTATAGGCCGAAAGTCACCCTGCCGCAGAATACGCTGGCCTTAAACCCACCGAACGTCGGTACCACCGAGACCCCAAGGAGGATATAAAACGTGCTTCTATTCTTCCTAAAGGCGATTCCAGGAAATTGAAAAGCACCGACACAAAACAAATTATACTCGAAATGAAATCAGTCTTGACCAACTTGGGGCTAGCCATTCACTTTTTGGCATTAGCGTCATCCATTCACGCTCTACTGGGGCCTCAAGTCCAATTGTCCAACAAAGCCATCATCACTGGTAACTATGAACTCCTTAATAACCTTGAATCCTACTTGGGTATTCCTTTTGCGGCTCCGCCAGTCGGGCCCTTGAGATTCAAACCGCCCCAACCATACACCGGGAGTTTGAACGGTTTCCAGGCCCTGGCCTACGGTCCATCGTGTCCTCAGATGAACCCAGCTGCTGGAGAGGCAGCTATCCTCGGTGCATTGCCAAATGATGTTTTGAGCTTGGTAATGCAAACCCCATTGTTCAACGCGATTCTTCCTCAATCCGAAGACTGTTTGACCCTCAACGTGTACAGGAAGAGGGGTCTCTCCTCTACCGCCAAGTTGCCGGTGATGTTCTGGATTTTCGGCGGTGGGTTCGAACTTGGTGGTACCAACTACTACTTACCGCAACAATTGATGGCGCAGGGGGCTCTCCAGGGCCAGGACTTTATCTATGTCTCTGTCAACTACAGAGTCGCTGCCTTTGGGTTCTTGGGAGGAAAGGAGATCAAGGCCGAAGGCAGTGGTAATCCTGGGTTATTGGACCAAAGGCTTGCCTTACAATGGGTTGCCGACAACATTGCTTCGTTCGGTGGTGACCCAAGTAAGGTTACCATCTTTGGTGAATCGGCTGGGTCCATTTCCGTGGCCCACCAGATGATTGCGAATAATGGTGATAACACCTACAAGGGAAAGCCATTGTTCAGGGCCGCCATCATGCAGTCTGGGTCTGTTCTTCCAACTCAGGACATTGATGCTGCGTATCCACAAAAGATCTTTGACGCTGTTGCCAATGCTGCTGGCTGCGGCACCGCCTCCGACAAGTTGGCGTGCTTAAGAAGCATTCCTTACGCCCAAATGCAAGCTGCGAGCAACTCTGTTCCTGGGATCTTTTCCTATGAGTCCTTGCAGTTATCCTACATGCCGAGACCGGATGGTGGCTTTATTCCCTACCAACAGATACAGATGGTTGCCGATGGCAAGTACGCAAGGGTTCCGTACATTATCGGTGATCAAAATGATGAAGGGACTCTTTTCTCATTCACCACCTTGAATGTGACCACCGATGCTGAAGTGAGAACGTATGTTGATAATGTGTTCCCCGGAATTTTATCCTCTCAGTTGGATCAATTCTTGACTTTATACCCGCAGGATGTCACCCAAGGCTCTCCTTTCGGATCTGGTCTCTTGAATGCGTTGACGCCACAAAATAAGAGACTCGCAGCTTTGCTTGGTGATGTGGTTTTCCAAGCCCCAAGAAGATTTATGTTAAACCACACTCCGGATGTTGCCAGGTACACCTTTAACTCCCAGCAGCTACAGGGTCTCCCACTTCTTGGCACTTTCCATGGCAATGACCTTATCTGGCAGTACTTTGTTCCTGGTTCTGGATCCTTGGTTTACCGAAACGCGTTTATTGCGTTTGCTAATACCTTGAACCCTAACAGTGGCGGCTTGTTTACCTTGACCAACTGGCCACAATATCAAAACACCAATGCCCTTGCCAACAACATGATGTATATCAATGCTGTGGGTCTTTCTACCGGAAAAGATAACTACAGACAGGCGGCCATAAGCTTCCTCAACAACAACTACCAAAATATTTTGGCTTAAACTGTTGTTGAGTATTATCTGACCAGTGCCATTGAAATATTTGCCTTTAGGTATATATATACGCGGATAGTAAGAACCAGTGCGTATATGTAGGATAGTTCTGATTCCGTCCATTTCATTATACAGCAAGGTTTAGGCATATAACGCTGGTAGTGAGTACCATTAAGAAATACTTTAGGTATGGTGTATAAACAGAAAAGTTATCAAAAGTGCTACTGTCATGGTCTGTGGTGCTAAACCCCTATGACGGAATGACATTTACCAAAACATGACCAGAGGAAGTTTTATCAGCACTGTCCTGGTTCGAGGTAATAGCTTTATATGGGTATCACCTTGTATAGCTTATGGCTTATGTTTATTATGTACCGCTGTAGTATCAGCCCGATGGGTCTTAATCTGTTGTTTGACCCTTCTTTTTTGTAAACCTCTCGCTCCAAAGGCTGTGGAGCTGTACTTTCTAGACCTTTTTACTCTACGCCGCCCGAGCTCAAGAAGTGCTTCACTAGCTCAGTTGGCAGAGCGTCAGTCTCATACTAGGGGTGACCCAAGTAGGATTAATCTGAAGGTCGAGAGTTCGACCCTCCCGTGGAGCAGCGCTTCTCTTGTTTTTGACCCCCCAAAACTCATCCGGAGCGAAGAAGAACTAAGTTGGCATCTGTTCTGGATTAAGAGTTTATTCTATACCTTTCCGAGGCTATGTGGTGGAAATTTACATAGCTAGGAAGATTTGATGGATGAGACCGTTTCCCCTTGCAGCTTCACCTAGCGAAGTTGAATCTACAACGTTATTTCATATAACCTAATTCTAGTGTAGTTTGCCGATTACTATCCCTCAGAGAGGCTATATTTTAAAAATATCAATTCTGCCCTGCTCTTCTTTAGCTACGAGGTATATATATATATTGAATTTATGAAAACATAACGTACGGATATATATATTGAACTATAACTACAAAATTTACAAATACGTATATATAGGTGTAGACGATTTAAACTGTAGAATTTATATCATAACTTATAATTTTACTAATCATATAACAACCACAAGTTTCTTGTCATATAGCAAATTTTAGACGTTATTATCAGCCTTTTCCCTCTGTCAATGTCTAGCTTGAGACTAATGTGTACAGGCTACCATATTAGTGTATCTCTCATATATACGCCAATACGTAGAATATATATAAGCCGCTGTTAACATTTACCCCTAAATAGTGCTTAAATACTTGCGCACGTGACTTCGGAATACGTGTTTGCTAGCCGTCGCGAAACCTGAGGAAAAATGGGTCGTGTATTTGTACCACGAGGGAGATGGGCTGAAATATATTTTCAGCCAATACGCGTAAACCCTTCATCTTCAACCTGAAGGATCACTACACGCACCACGCCATGGATTTTGAATCAGACACCCCAGCTAACCCGGCCTCTGTCCAGCTCCACCGTCTCAAGGCTCTCTACCAGACCTACTTGGACAAGTCCACTCCGTACATCTACCAGAGATGGACTGGGTTCGGGGTTTTGTTGTTGATGTTTGCGTTGAGAATCGTTTACGCCCAGGGCTGGTACATTATCTGCTACGCTTTGGCCATCTACTTGTTGAACCTCTTTTTGGCGTTTTTGACGCCAAAATTTGATCCGTCGTTGGAGCAGGAGATGCACAGGGAGTCCATGGAGGAAGGCATTACCAGCGAGCAGGAGACCAGTGAGGAGTTTAGACCGTTTATCAGAAGATTGCCTGAATTCAAGTTCTGGTTTGGTGCTACCAGGGCCACCCTGATCAGTTTGGTATTGACCATGTTCTCCATCACCGACGTGCCAGTGTTTTGGCCGATTTTGGTCTTGTACTTTGTCATTTTGTTCACCTTGACTATGAGAAAGCAGATCCAGCACATGATGAAGTACAGGTATTTGCCATTCGACTTGGGAAAGGCCAAGTACGGCTCCAAGTAGATACTCCATTTCGTTGTGTCTGGCCCTGGAAAACCCCCTTCCTCTCCACCTTTACCGACCAGGAAATTCCTTGACCAAGAGGAAATTGTACCAATATCTTGTATGTCTATATATATCGCTTATGTTTTGCGTGTATCAAGCCTCCAATGTAGATGGAAATAGCATTTAAAAGATCCAAGTACGCATAGTTTGCTTTAGTAAAGCCCGAGGGAGCGTATATATAGGCTATCAGGGTCTTCGCATATCTTCGTGTATGTATGACCAGGTGCCTTTAGTTAACCGTAACCCTGCATCCGCCATAAAAACTGTAGTGACTTTATCTAGGATATTCTATTTCTCCAACCATACCTAACAGATGGTTAGATAATTCAGTGTAGTTTTATAGAAGTCTCAAAGACGAGTGGGTTACAAAAAGAAATGGTCCCTAGCAGGATCGAACTGCTGATCCCCGCGTTATTAGCACGATGCCTTAACCAACTGGGCCAAGGGACCAAATTCCTGCTTAATGAAGATTTATCAAAGTTTAAGAGCGAAGGTTATGGAGGTTCCAGTCTTAGCATCTTGCTTTTAACGCTAACACCACCCCCTCCATGAGCAACAAAATTAATGCCCAATGGTTCGTGTTTGAAATCCTTGATTTCATAGAATATGACCTGAGACACTAAAATCGGGACTCTACAATATTTAACTATGCGGCGAGATCTGATTATCTGACTGCTCAGAGTCTGCTACCGTTATGGGATATCTTACCCACTTCATTGGATGGATAGGATTTCCATGCCCATCTCTCGGACCTGATGATCTCGCATATGTCCTTTATAATATTGGCGAAGATCAATTCATCATATTCTGATTGGCACACAAGCGTACCGGTATGTCACCGTCCAACAGTTAAAGGCCGTTACCGCCAGATATCACCATAATCTATGTGGTTTAGATACACAGTTAACGCACGGCTAATGCTGAGATATGATATAAACCCGGAGTACTAGGTGACTAAATGATACATTCCTTGAATTACCTCTTATTTCCAGTTGTTCAAGGTACAAATTTCACGCACTATTTCCAAAACTCTTCCAGGCTTATGCATCTAGATCACTGCCTAACGCAAATTTGTCCAGTAAATGATGCAGAATATACCTGACAGGAAGATGCAGCTCTACCCCGCAAATTGCCCATTCACAAACAATGAGCCTACCCGTATTGATTCCGTGTATTTTTTTGCTGATTCGCACCATCAATACCTTCTTGCCGTCCCCGAACTTGTGGGCTTCCAATCGCGCTGTAATAAAACAGTCGCGTTTTGCCAACCCATGCCGAAAATGTCGTGTTTTGACGATTCGTGCCTTCTCCTAATCACCCGAGACAAACAAGATCCAGACTTTCTACCTATAGCTTCACATTTATCCTTCTTCAACTTCCCACGGCCAGTTCTAACTTATTTCCAAGGTATGCGTCTGATTATCCAATACTCTACTTTGTGGTATACAAAGGGCTACCTGAAAACCACTGGGGGATATACACCCAAGTTTGATTCTCCTACACCATTGGCTATTGCTTCGGGCCTTAACTCCAAGCGATATCTAAAAGGTTAGCCTTGGGGTCTCTTGCCCGCAACTTGCTCAAAAAAGTGGCGCCAAAACCACTCTAATGAGTAATCAAGAGATTCAAACTTCAGATGAGCTTTCAGCCTTTTTTCTTGGCTCCTTCAGCTTTTCGCGATCCCCCACTAAAGCTTGTAAGCCACTCGGGCTATCTTGGTTCTTCGCAGCTTATCATTAGCCGTTTTTTTTCGCGCTCGCCGCGAAAAAGAAATTGAAAAATTCACACAAAAGAAAGAAAATTTCGGTATCGATCTCTTTATCTACGCCTCCCACATGCCTTTAAGCACCCCCAGCGCCAGACACCTTCTCCACGACCGGCTCTTTTACGGCCACCTGAACGTCATGTTGCACCACATCTCCACGTACCTTGGTCTTGGACACACGCACACGCGTGCCCACTCCACGGCGGCGGACGACGCGTCGCTTAGTTCCGCGCTGTCCTTCACAAGCACCAAAACAACCCATTCCACACCGCTGAAAAACACCCATTCGTTCCACCCGCGCCTCCGTGCGGTGATGTCGCAGTTAGATATGATTGCGCCGCGGTTTGTGCTCAACAAGGGCGACGTCGAGATCATCACCAGTCCGGTGGAGTTCTATGAGCGCCTCAAGCTCAAGATCGCGCACGCGGAAAAGCGCGTGTTTTTGTCCTCCTTGTACATCGGAAAGACGCAGCACGAGTTGGTGGCCACCATCACGGACGCTTTACGTGCGAAGCCCGAGCTCCGCGTGTACATCCTCACTGACGCGTTACGCGGAACCAGAGAAGCGCCGCAGCACAGCTCAGCGTCGCTCCTCTCACCGCTCACGGAGGAGTTTGGCAACCGTGTGGACATCCGCATGTACCATACGCCGCACTTGAACGGGGTCAAAAAGTCGCTCCTTCCTGTGCGCATCAACGAGGGCTGGGGCCTCCAGCACATGAAGATGTACGGGTTTGACGACGAGATCATCATGAGCGGCGCTAACTTGTCGTCTGATTACTTTACAGACAGACAGGATCGCTACTACCACTTCAAGTCGCAGACCTTGACCGACTACTACTTTTCCATCCAGCAGGCGGTCAGCTCGTTGTCCTACCGGATTTACGCTTCCGCCAGCGAAAGCAAGTTCCGTATGAGCTGGCCCACCTCCAACGCCTCCAGCGAGCCGCACTTGAATATGCAGCGCTTCTTGTCGGACGCGCTGTTGCTCCTTGAGCCGTTGCTCAAGCCGCGTAACTTGGCGCCGTTCGAGGACAAGGATGAGGGCAGCCCCACCACCGTCGTGTACCCGGTTTCGCAGTTCACCCCACTCTTGGTGCCCGACCACTCCACCGAAAAGCCCGCCGTGTTGCGCCTTCTTTCGTTGTTGGACTCGCCAAAGATCCAGTGGACCTTTACCGCAGGCTACTTCAACATGCACCCGGAAATTAAGAAGCGGTTGATCAACTCGCGCGCCATCGGGAACGTTATCACCGCCGCCCCCAAGGCTAACGGGTTCTACAAGTCCGGTGGTATCTCCTACTATCTCCCAGAAGCGTATCTTTTGTTGTCCAAAAAGTTCTTGGTCGACGTGCACGCTAACCAGAAGGAGGCGACCATCTCCCTCAACGAGTGGCAGCGTGGTATCGTCAACACGCCCAATGGCTGGTCCTATCACGCCAAGGGTTTGTGGATTTCGGTTCCAGACGAGACTAGGCCGTCTGTCACGATGATCGGGTCGTCCAACTACACCCGAAGGGCCTATTCGCTTGATTTGGAGAGCAACGCGATTGTGGTCACCAAGGACGAAGAGTTGAAGGCGCAGATGGCCAACGAGGTTGAGAACTTGATGCTGCACACGAAGCGTGTGACCCTTGAGGACTTTGAGAAGGACGAGGAGAGACAGATTAGCCAGTGGGTTCAGGTAGCGACCAAGTTGGTCGGGCGCAAGCTATAGGACGGCTAATTTCGGTTACGGTTTTTTATTTTTTATTGCATCAGCGCATAACATATCCTTTTGCTGTATATATAGTTTCAATAGACTTTCAGATTAGATGGAGTGAGGAGGGAACTCGATATAAGACAATTCCAGACATCTAAAAGACCCGGGTCTGGTTATTGAACCAGCTTTCGAATATCATTTTGAATATCATGTAGCTCGCCCTGCCATTCATTTCGTGTCATTTATCCGCACACCGTAGAAAGCCTCCATGGTTCGTCTGGGTGAACCACAAATCTCGTTTTCAACAGTTTGCCTGGCTAGCTCAATCGGTAGAGCGTGTGACTCTTAGTAGTACGCGATCACAAGGTTGCGGGTTCGACCCCCGCGTCGGGTTCTGTTTCTTTTTAAAAGATTAAAGCAAGTTATCTAGGGAATTGGAGGTCTGACGCGCCGATGGAGAGAGACCGAGAGAGATTGAGATGAAAAATCAGTCAAAAGAAGCGTGAAATTCAAGGTACGGAAGACCAAGGAAACGGCCTAGCGATTCATTCCTTCTTTCTCTGAAGGAAGCTGAGCTTGTAAATTGCGGGAGGCATCAGGGTCACACTTCCTTTTTAGCCTGGGGCCTTACTCTCGTTTCATTGGAGGTGCATGGGCCTGGACTCATCCACATCCTGTGACGGCTTTTGGACCCTTGACTGATAAACGTAAAAGGTAAGAGACGACTCTTACTTCAACCTTTCAAGATGCATACAAGACATGAAGGCCGTTTTTCCGCGTAGGACCATGGATCGCAAAGGGTGTACAACTACCAAACACATTGTATTGAATACTGTTGTCAGCTAGTTGGCCAGCATACTGACACGTGATTAAATTCCATCGAAGATTACTGGCAGCAGCATCGTTCATCATAAAAATACTCTCAGAGTTCTTATGATCTCTATCTTATATAAAATTTATTGTCAATACACGCATATTAATTATGGTCAAGGATTGGTCAATATCCTTACGTTTTGATAATCTTCCGAAATAGTGTAATGGCTAGCACAGGGCGCTCTCACCTCCCAGATCCGGGTTCGATTCCCGGTTTCGGAGCTTACTTTTTTCTGCTCCACTTCTAGAATCATTTGTGTTCCCATATAAATGGCACACAATATACTATACGTGTTATAAACCATCAGATGCTTTTGTTAAAAGTTAGATGAATGGTAAAAGCGTTATGCCTAGTGTGGAAGCGTCACCAAGCTGTAATACATGAACCTTGTCACAAAGATAATTTTTGACCATACAACGATATGAAAAAAAAAAAAAAAATGACACCACGTTGCCATGGGCAAGATAATACCATTAGACGGCTTATCTTAGGATCTACTTTTCCCGTTCCTTTCGTGTATCTGTCTATAACGCAACGGTCCGCATTTACCTAAGTAGATCCCACAGACGTTCCCCTGGCAGGTCAAACACACCAGCTACAAACCAAGCCATTTGAACTAAAATCTTTATTAAACTTTTTCTACGCAAGAGCCTCTACCGCATCAATCGCTGCGCGATACTCCTGTTGCTTCACACACAAGTCCAAAAACACCTTATACTTCGCGTCCAACAACCGACGATCAGGATCGTCGGCCGTGTTCGGTGCCACCACCTTCCCGGCCCCGCTCATCTTCTCCATCACCAGCCACAACGCGTCGCCACTCGCAGCTGCCAGTCTCTTGGCACCAAAGGAAAGACCCTCGTCTTCGAAGTCGTCTTCGGCCTCTGTCGTGCGGGTAAGCGGGAACGGGTATCCTACGCTTTGCGGGGCGAGGGAAGCGAGTGCAGTGGAGCTGGCGGTTGCGGAAGGCGCGGTGTACGGCGACTTTGCGACGTCGTGCGTGGCGGACACGCCCTTCAACTCTGTGCGCACACCCTGCGCCGCGACAGCCCCGAGCAACGCCGCGCCAAATACCACCGCCGCGTCGATGTACCGCGGTATGACAATTGGCAAGCCCGTGCAGTCTGCGAGCAAGCGCATGAGGAGCCCGTTGCGGCACTGGCCACCGGACATGTAGATGCGCGAAATGGCGTGGCCCGCAGCGGTCATCGCGGCAACAATCTGACGTGTCTGCTGCGCGATGAACTCGCACGCACCAAAGTACGTGAGCGCGAGGTCGTCGAGCGATACATCCATGGACTGACCAACAATGGCCGCGCGCATGCGTGCGTCCGCAACGGGCGAACGGTTGCCGTGATAGTCGCCATAGAAGAACAAGTGCTTCGCGAGCGCAACGACGGAGCGCGTACCGGTTGCCTTGGTCATGTCCTCGAGGCGGTTATTGAGGAAGTCGAACTTGGAGATATTGGAGATGTCCGCGGCGGTCGTGAGCTCCGCATACGCGGGGTGAGTCGCAAGCACGTGCGCGAGAAGCGCACCGGTGCACGACTGGCCGCCTTCCGCAAGCCAGAAGCCGGGCGCGATGACGTCGCGGTACGGGCCCCAGACGCCGGGGACAAAGAGGGGAGAGGCAGACATGGCAATGTGGCATGTCAGAGTGCCGGCGACGGCCGCGAGACGGCCACAGGATTGGGCAATTCCGCTAGTCGCGCCGTTCACGACGCTGCTCGTGTCATCGCTCGCCGCAACCGTTCCAATCCACCCAGCATACGCATCAATCACCCCCGAGCCAACCCGGCACCCTGGTGACAATCCAAGCTCGGCAGCGGCGGCCTCACTGAGCGTGCCAACCGTCTCACCCGCATGGAGGTACGTTCCGCCTAGCCCCGGGGAGCCACCAAGCTGCGCAAACCCGTTAGCCACAAGCTCGCCGAGACCAATCGCCTCGAGAAACTCCTGTGACCACCCATGCTTCGAGCCGTCTACACCCGGCGGCACAAACCCTTGCTTGCACACGGCGGAACAATAGGACCGCGCCTCGGACCCTGTCGCGCGGTGAGTGAGAAAGTCTGGGAGGTCGTAGAACTTCATCTGGGCAAACACGTTTGGTGCGACGTTAGCCTGGAGCCACATGATTTTGGGCATTTCCATCTCAATGGACATAGAGCCGCCTACGTACTTGAGACAGACGTCGCCCGTGGCGTTGATGGTGTCGGTTTCCTTGTGCGCGCGGTGGTCCATCCAGAGGATGACGTTCTGCGCGGCGTCGGAAAAGTCTGGGCCCACGGCCACCGGCATGTCGTCGTGGTCGATTGCCACAAGCGAGCATGTGGCATCGAAGCCGATACCATGGACGTAGACGGGATCCACGTTCGCCTGCACGACAGCCAGACGAACACAGAAGCAGATCGCATCCCAGATTTCGGTTGTGGACTGCGTGATGTGGTTCGCTCGGAGCTCATGGCGAGAGATGGGTTTCTCAGCAAGGCCGAGGATCGCACCTGCGGGGTCCACCACCGCTGCGCGCGCGGAGCCAGTGCCAACATCCACACCAACATAAAAGGGTCCCGTACCGGGGTTGCCAAGGGACAAGCCCGACGGATTAGTAGAGGACATTGGAAGAGAAATGGGATCTAGGTATTTGCTGATAATCCGGGACTTGTGGTTCTGAATTAAAAGCTGGGGCTGCTCGGATCTGGAGTAATATCTAAAGCATTGAAGGGGAGGGGCTCGCCCATTTATATATGCTGCATGTCAGAACGACTGCGTCTGGTGAAAAATATAGCTCGAGTGAATGTTCTCCCGAATGTACCTTGATAAGGCAACGCACAACCCCTCATTGATAAAAAGAAAAGAGATTGTTAGGTGTTATTTTTCGCGTATCTATATTTAGCTATGGCATTTAGAAAGAAGCTATTTGTGAGGTTAGACTTGTTCTGAGACCCCATCTTCCGAGTAGCCTATGTAATTATCAGAGGTATTACAGAACGTTCCACCGAAGGATAAGAGGTCTGTTATAAATCGATAAGAGTCTAAAAGTCTGATTTTCCTGTGGTAAAGCTGTGTTTATACCTTGTGTGTACTGTTCCCCGCTGTTAGGCTGTGCAACCTCGTCTAGATATCCTCATGCCTCGCTGGCCTAGTGCCTCGTCCCCTCATTCACCGAGGCATACATCAGGAGGTTCCCTTGCTCTCTTATATGCATATAGAAAGTGGTCCAAATAGACTACTGTTGCTAGATATACATCCTTTCCCAAACTTGTATCTATTCCAGAGCTTAGACCATCGTATTGGCTTTAAGACAGCTTCCCCTCTGATGAACCGTTCCGGCTGGCTGCGCACGTGATTTTTTCAGCCCGGAAAATCACGATTGCTCTACTAGCCATTGTCCTGCGGTTTGGGGTTGTGGCTTATACTATGATTAACAGCTGGAGAACCTTCTCGGGTGAAAGATACTAAGGCGCGGAAATCTCCCGAGTCATGATTCCGTGCTTTGAACCGTGGTATGCATTCTGGGGAAAGGTTGGAGCAAGCAGATTTCTGAGGATGAATTACTGTAAATTTCCAAATCTTTGTACATTTCCGTATCGTTATTACGCAAACCCGTCTCTTGTAGTTTAATTTATCCGAAAGCCTTTCAAGACTTTTTAAGCCACTATAAACAAGCTCTGACCATCAAGTTCTCCAGTATGATTAAGTTTCTGCCACCTCTGAGTCTTATATTTTTCTCGTTCTATTCTCTAAACTGACCGATCTTCATGGATCTTTGTTCCGCAGGACGGACGAGTCTGGATGCTATCTAGCGTTGCGGGCCTCGCAACGTTTCTGAAGATGTCACGGAGTCCAGACTCCGAGAGTCTCCAGTGTTTGTTCCACTGGACTCTGACAGTTGTGGGTCCCAGGTCCTAATCCTGGTCCATGCTTACTCCACGTAAATCGGCTCCTCCCGTTTTTTTTTGTTTTTGTTTTTTTAATTCTTTGGGGCCGGGTACTTTTCCACCAACTCCACCAAGAAATCGTACTGCTCGTTGGCCTCGATCGCACCTCTGACGTGGCTCGCGGTGACCCTTCTCTGGCCGTTCTTCTTGGCCTCGTCACAGCTGGCCAGCACCAAGCTTGCCATGAAGATCTCGAGCGCACGGCCAACCACCACCGGCGTGGCCTGCGCCACCTTCCCGATATCCTCGTCCGATTGCATCAACTTCTTGATTCTGGCAGCCGGGAAGTGTGTCTTGATGGACTCGTACGTCTTTGCGAGCGACGGAACGGCTTCTGGGGCAGCCTCAATCGGTTCTACCGCGGTATCATACGGTATCGGTGGGGCAGGGTTGAGAAGATCCGCCATCTGTGGCTGAAAGTAACGGTCAGACATTGGTACGGTGAAAAATCCTGTGTGCGTGTGCAAGCTAAAACACGTGCAGTCTCAATCGGAAAAAAAGGAAAACCAGAAAATCCTGGGAACTTGGTGCCTTTTAAATGCAAAACGCAAGACAGAAACCAGCCGCATGACATGCCGCTTTGGGAAATTTACCGTATTTGGTTGACGGCCGGGTAACGAGAACATTCAACAACACTGATAGGCAGACCTTGGCATCGCGCTGGAGATTTTAGAATATTGGTTTGACTTGGTTTTCTTTTGCTTGGGAGTCGATGGATTTGGTGTAAAAGTGGGACACCGAAAGATTTGAATGCACGGTAACATGTACGGGACTTTTGATTCTCGTGTTAGGCATGAGTCAAGTCTGATTTTGTCAGAGTTTTTAGGTGTGGAAAAGGGCTGGAAAATATTGTTTGGATTATGTCAAAAGGTATATATTCAGGGTGAAATAGCGGTAAACGGAATAAAATATATATTAAAATATATTAACGTTGCATTAAGTATTTATAGACAAAATTTAAGCTAGCTGGAATTTTTGAGATAAATACAGCATTTGGCAATATTCCATAATTTAATATATACGTATAAGTATATATGACTAGAGCTAACCAAAAGGCTTTTCTTGTTTACCCAAAGATTATCTGAATTAAAATGTTGATTTTTAACTCTACTTTGCCCTCCAAGTTAGACCAGCCAAATCTATCCTCACTTCCGAGCGACTTTAGCTCAGTCGGGAGAGCGTTAGACTGAAGATCTAAAGGTCCTGTGTTCGATCCACAGAAGTCGCATTTCTTTTTGGTATCTGGTTCGGCTTTAAGACTTTGGTTTGGACCGGCGGTCTGCAAGAGGGAACGTGTTTGTCGTAGCACCGGTGGTGTTTGACTATTTTAGAGATGAAGGCCAAAGGTTTTACCGCAAATATTAACGACATTGGAATTGCAATATTACTCTGAAGGAAAAATTAAACCTCCGATACCGGGAGTCGAACCCGGGTTTGCTCGGTGAAAGCGAACCGTGCTAGCCGTTACACTATATCGGAGCAGTCATGAAATCGTCAAACCATTCCTAGAACCTATCTAACCGGGCTAAGCCTAGAACCCCGAAGAAGTAACCCCCTCCAATGGTATCATACAACTGGATTTTTAGCAATCTGATCACTACGAGTAACCATAGCCCGCAATCTCGGGGCACGGGAGATCCCATAAGTTAGAGTCTGAGGTACAGTTCCCACGCTCGTCGGGATTGTGTTGACGTATCCTAACATTAGCACACCACGTACCTCCTTGATCTATTACAGGTGCTATCCGCCTCTGAGGTGAGAGGGTAGTACGTGTGATTATTATAATTCGTTGACGGTTATTAGAACCAGCTCCCTAGTACGAGTAAAGTTATGTGTCAATCCAAGAGGGTTGAACTGCCTGTGACCAGCGACCAATTCCTTATCGTAATTTTTCTGTGACTATCAAGCACGTGCAGCCATACTCATTCTCAAAGATCTCAAAGATCTCAAAGCGAGCGCCAGTGGTTTAGTGGTAAAATCCAACGTTGCCATCGTTGGGCCCCCGGTTCGATTCCGGGCTGGCGCATTTTTTTCGTTCACCTAAATACACAATATTTCGACCGAGTTTCAACTTATAAACGACTGGATTTTAGCCATGAGTCGGAGGCTATTGTACCAGAAATAGAAAGTTGAACCGCAGTCGTTGGTGGTACCTCAGTATGTCTGGGAACCTCCTAGGAAAGAGGCGAAAGATCCAAGCTGAAAAATTACCTAGAATTATTGGAGATTATAGAGAAGCCAGTTCTGAATTGAGACTAATTTTACTTTGAGAGACCAGCATCGGATGGCTATCTTTGGATATACGAGTATTTTCCTCTGCTATATGCCTTGAAAGATGAACCAGAAATATGTCGGTATACTATAGCCGTGGTTTATCTAGCATCAATAGTTGATTCAAGCTAATCTAGTCTCATTCAATCAGATAAAAGTATATATCCAGTCTGTTATTAACACATTATTGCTTACTACAAGCCAGCCAACCCGTCTCTCGTTAAATCCACATGGTAGACAGACATCATCTGTAGCTTCTTTAACCCACAGATAGAGAGTGCCAATGAATAAATTATAAACTGGCCATAAATAGAGCTGAGACCAAGCTTTTATGTTTTGAGCCCCCTGACTTTGCGCGTTTTACGTGTGCGCGTACGTGAGCGGAGACGCGTCACATTTTCGCCCACGTTTGCGGACGCGTCGCCGGAAAAAGGCCCCGTCAGTTATTCTATTTATCCCCTCCAAATACAAACCACCAACCCTTCTTTACCAAAACACACACCACCATGACTCAAGCAACGCCTAAGAAACCCACCAAGAAACCCACAGGCAGCGGAGCTAAGCTCAAGCAGCAATCGCTATTATCCTTCTTTGCCCCGTCGTCGTCCCCGAACAACTCGCCTACGGCAGATCCCAAAAACAAAAGCCAGGATATTCCATCGTCTCCATTAAAGGCAAGGGAAGACAAAGCTGACGGGAAAGTGAGTAGCACGGGTATAAATGGAGCTCCGGCCACAGACAGCACGGGGGCGGTTGGAGCTCCGGATGAGATCGAAATGAATGATGTAACCATGTTAGATTGCCCCCCAGACGCTGACTCTACAGATATTCCTTCCAGCCCTGCTCCGCCGGTTGCCGAATTCGCCAGATTATCGCGCCTCAATATTTCCTACGTTGAAAGCGATTCTGACGACGATGTCTCCCTCAGCAACGTCAAAAAGAGACGCGTAACTACATTTTCTGACGATGAAGACGAATTCAAGCCAACGGAAGAGCCGGTCTCCGAAGACGAGGTGGAGATGGCAGACCTCACCAAGGAGCTTGAGGGCAGCGATGCTGAAAGTGAAGATGAGATTTTGAGCAAGAAAAAGCCAAAGAGCTCCAATCTGTTGGAGTCCAAATTCAGCGCCAAGTCTTCGTACACGGCCAAGGTGGCGCCAAGGACAAAGGCTTTGCCCAAGGCTGCCAAAAAGAGCTTTACCAAGGAAAACGAAGAACGCTATTCTTGGCTCGTGGACGTCAGAGATGCAGAAAAACGCCCCGTCTCCGACCCAGACTACGACTCCCGCACGCTCTTTGTGCCTTCCTCCGCATGGGCAAAGTTCACCGCGTTTGAAAAGCAGTACTGGGAGATCAAATCGGTAATGTGGGACACGGTTGTCTTCTTCAAGAAGGGAAAGTTCTACGAGCTCTACGAGAACGACGCCCACATTGCTTCCACGCGCTTCGATCTCAAGATCGCGGGGGGCGGACGAGCCAACATGAAGCTTGCAGGGGTACCGGAGATGAGCTTCGACTACTGGGCAAAGCAGTTTATTGACGCGGGGTACAAGGTGGCCAAGGTTGACCAGAAGGAGAGCATGCTTGCCAAGGAGATGCGTGAGAAGAGCACGCTCCTGAAGGAAGACAAGGTGATCAAGCGTGAGCTCAAGTGCGTTTTGACCGGTGGAACGCTCACGGAGCTCGGGATGATCACGGATGACATGGCCATTTATTGCCTTGCCATCAGAGAGGAGACAGACGGCACCGAGAAGGTGTTTGGGCTCGCATGGGTAGATACCACAACACTGGAAGTGCGGATGTTGGAGTTCCGAGACGACCAAGAGTGTTCTCGCCTCGACACCCTCATCACCCAGCTCAGACCGAAGGAGATTGTGGTGGAAAAGGGCAACTTGTGCACGGCCGCGACACGGATTCTCAAGTTTAACCTGGCCTCTCAGCCCATCTGGAACCACTTGACCCCGAGGAAGGAGTTCTGGGACTACGAAACGACGTACGAGAACTTGGTCAGAGGGGGGTACTATCCGGCCAAGGACCTTGACGACTTGACGAGCTTCCCCCCGCTTCTAGTCTCGTGCCACCAGGAGTCGAGACTCGCTTTTGCCGCCTTCGGAGGCCTTCTCTCGTACCTATCCTCGCTTCAGCTTGACCGCGAGATCATGACGCTTGGGAACTTTAAGCCTTACGATGCTTCCGGCGCCGCGAATTCTACACTCATTCTCGACGGTATCACGTTGAACAACTTGGAAGTCTTTAACAACTCGTTCGACGGAGGCGATAAGGGGACGTTGTTCAAGCTTGTGAACCGCGGAATCACGGGCTTTGGCAAGCGGATGCTCAAGCAGTGGGTAATGGCGCCGCTTTTGCGCATTGACGACATCAACGGCCGCCTTGACACCGTGGAGTTTCTCCTTTCCAACGACGGAAACGAGTTCAGAAGCCACTTGGAGCAGGGCTTGACGGGGCTTCCGGACTTGGAGCGGCTTCTTGCGCGTATCCACTCGCGCAGCTTGCGCTTCCGTGACTTTGTAAAGGTGGTGGAGAGCTTTGAGCGGATCGTGCGCTTTTTCATCGAGCTTGCGGCTATCAAGGACTACGATGCCGTTCCGGGCGTGCTTGGGAAGCTCTTGGAGAAGATCCCGGAGGGCTTACCGCCAGCGGTGGAGTCCTGGACCGATGCCTTTGACCGTGTCGAGGCGCTCCAGGACGTGATTATCCCTCAGAGAGGTGTCGATTTGGAGTTTGATGCTTCCTTGGACACCATGAAGGGACTCGAGGACGAGTTGAACGTGGTGCTCAAGGAGTACCGCAGGGTGTATAAGTCCCAGGAAATTTGCTACCGCGATTCCGGGAAGGAGATCTACACGGTGGAAGTTCCCGTCAAGTGCGTGAAGCTGATTCCAAAGGACTGGCAGCAGATGGCCGCCACCAGCAAGGTCAAGCGGTATTGGTCGCCAGAGGTGAAGGAACTTGCGAGACGCCTCACCGAGCAAAGAGAATTGCACAAAGATATCAGCAACGGGATGAAGAGTCGGCTTTATGAACGGTTCACCGAGAACTACTCGGTCTTTCAGGAAACTCTCAAGTTGGTTGCCCAGCTCGACTGTCTCATTGCGCTTGCGCGGACGTCCGAGTCGCTCGGGTTCCCCGCTTGTCGTCCAGAGTTGGTTGACTCCTCCAAGGGTGAGCTCAGCTTTGTGGAGTTGAGACACCCGTGCTTCCTCACTCCCGGTGGGGCACTTTCATCTTCCGTGAAGGAGTTTATTCCGAACGATGTGGTATTAGGCGGTGATCACTCGGGTATTGGCTTGCTTACCGGTGCCAATGCCGCTGGTAAGTCGACGCTCTTGCGGATGACGTGTATTGCGGTGGTTTTGGCACAGGTTGGATGCTACGTGCCGTGTGAGAGCGCGCGGATGACGCCGGTAGACCGGATCATGACCCGTCTCGGGGCCAACGACAACCTTCTCCAGGGGAAATCCACGTTCTACGTGGAGCTTGCCGAGACCAAGAAGATCCTTGAGACCGCCACGCCGAAATCCTTGGTGATTTTGGACGAATTGGGCCGAGGCGGGTCTTCCTCCGATGGCTATGCCATTGCCGAGGCCGTCTTGTACCACCTTGCGACTCATATCCAGGCTATGGGCTTCTTTGCGACCCATTACGGGAACCTCGGACTCGCGTTTGCCTCGCATCCACAGGTGACACCTCTTCGGATGAAGATCTTGGTCGAGAGGGAGTCGCGGAACATTACCTTTTTGTACAAGTTGGAGCCGGGTGCCGCGGAGGGGTCCTTTGGGATGAACGTTGCTGCCATGTGCGGCATCGAAGAGAGCATTATCACCAAGGCCGAACAGGCGGCCGAGGAGCATGAGCACACCAGCAAGATGAAGCGCAGCCGCGAGTTGAGCCAGCAGAACGTGGTTCCGTTGGGCTTGCAGAGCGACTTTAGCTGGTTCCTCCGCGGGTTGCTGGCGTTACAAGGCGAGGTTGCCGTGTACCCAGAAGAGGTCCGATTGCGTGCTGTTAAGAACGTTTTGGACATGATTGAGAGAATTTAAGCCTGGACCTGTACTCTTACATTTAGTATATTTTGCTGTTTTTTTTTATATATTCAACCTTGCGGCAGGTTAATTGACCATTAGCGGGATCAATTGCGGGCGTGCTTATGATTTAAACCTTTGTAATTTAATTGGTTTACTGGATTCATTGTAGATATACAAAATCAACAGGACAGGCTGCTGACCTCAATAACGATTTTCTGTCATCTCTTTAGGTGACAGACTCGGCATGAATCCATTTAGGTGGGCCAAAAGCACGCCAAGTTAATGCGGATTCTCGCCGGAAAGAGCAGCTCCAGGCCGGGGCACCGGAGACGAGACCATCGAGGGAATTGGTATTGGGGCCGTTCTTGGAATCAACAGCGAGGCCGCCATTATGGGTATTTGCATTTGGTGAGAGTCGCTATACCGGGGTAGCATTCCTGGAGGCACATCTGGTGACAATACCGGGGGCATTTCCGCCATTCCTGGGGGTATCCCCGAAACCCCAACCATCGGAGGAGCAAAGTTCGGAGGACAACCAGGGGAAGGTTGGTTAAGGAAAGGGTACGGCACAAATCCCTGATACGGCATGATTGGGACATACCCGTGAGGGTTTCCAGGATAAGCACCGGGAAAACTAGGGGGGTACTGGAACTGGGCAGCCACCTGCGGAGAGACCACATAATGAACCTTGGATTCGACCTTTTGTTTCTTAGTCCTTGGCTTTGGGGTCTTCAGCGATGGAGTTGCATTTGGCTTTTCAGCCAAAGGTTCGGATGGATCCAACAAAGTTTCGAGCCCAACCATCTTTCGCTTTTTGTACGGGCGCTTTTCCTTTGGAGCCTCACCGCTCGCCTCCATCGCTAGCCGCTTCAACTCCGACTTTTTCACCTTCTTTGGTCCCAACCCCTTCTTGTACAAAAACCGCTTGTAACCCGGGTCGTTTGGCGTTTTCAGCGCCCAATTATCGGTGAAGCGCGCCACCTGGTCGGTCGACTGGTCGGGCAAGTAGCACCACACCAGGGAGTCAGACGGCTCCCTCTTCTCGTGGGCCAAATGAAAGACCTCTAATACCATGGTAGAACCGTTCCAGGGGAGAATTTGGAGCGAAAAGTTTGGGTCTTTGACCCCAGAGCAGATTAAATCCCCAGGAGGTGTCCCGTCAACGGCCAGAGGATCTACCTTTTCTTTCTTGACAATTTTTTTGCCAACCTTTTCCTTCTTTTCCCTTTCAGCCTTCCGCGGCCTTTCTGGAACTCCTGTAAAGTACTTATCATTACCCAACACACTTTCATAGACAATCTCTATGCCCTCGGTGAGCTTGGGGTACACAAGTACGTCCAACGTGCTCTCCGAGGCGTTGTTTTTCACCACCAAGCCGGAATGGTGGTTTCCCTGGAGCGTAAACTGGACGATGGAGTTCCGCGTGAGCAGCTGGCAGAACGTTTCCCCTATAAGCCGCTTCGCTTCTGGAAGCTTAGGCCGGTGAACCTTGCAGTAGTTGAGCCTCAGCTTCAACAAGTCAGTGCCACCCAGTGCTTTCATCTCAGTACACGTTTCGAGGTCGAGGAAGATACCGGCACCAATGGCACACGTCGCGTGATACGCTCGGGTACACTTGCTGTAGTCGCACTGGAAACAAACCCCGTGGGCGGCGCCCGAAAGGTGGCACACGAGGCACCGGAGGTTCTTCCGCGCTGGCGGAATCGCTGAGAAGTTGGTGACAATCTCCACCGGAGCAGAGGTAGAGCCAGTGGCTTCACACTTGCCAAGAGACGGGACAGCAGGAGTCTCCGAAGGTTGGTGTGTGACGGAAACACCAGCAAGCGTGGAATGGGGTTCACTGGGACTGTGCTTGATGCTGGTTGGGGTCAAGGGGCCTGTCACGTCCATAGCTGGCCCGTTCAAGCACTTAGCAACACCTTCATCTGGAGGCGTCTCACCATCCTCGACCTTAACCAGCAACCTTCGCTCGCCTTCGTTTGCAGTTTCATAACCTTCGTCATCAGAGAGGAGACGAGGATCGTTCGTGCAAGCATCAGAAATTTCTGGGTGTTTGACAACAAAAGCTGGGTCTGCGTCTCTACCAGCGTCTGTAGAAGCTATTCCGCCCAATCCAAGAAGACTGCTTGAAGTCAAAACTTCAGTCATAGCACCCGCCTTACATGCTTCTCCCAAAGCTTTCAAATCCTTGTCTTCTCTCACGTTTTTCATCATCACCTCGTTGCACAAGTACGCGCACACACGATGAACCTTGCCCTTTTTCCCCTCAACCTCCAACAACTCAAACACCCTGAGCTTGAGCAAACGCCGGGGGAGAATATTCGGACATAATAAGCACGCCTCACCCTTTGGCTTTAGCTTCACAACCTTCGGTTCCTTCAACTTTGGCTTTGGTATTTCAACTTCGCTCTCTTCTTCGCTGGAAATTTCCACGACATCCAGCTCCATTTCATACTTTTCATGATTGTACAAGCACTTGAGCTGCGTAACATTGATGCCGACGGAATCGTCGATACACTCGCACTTGGTGGTCTTTTCGGCCACCTCAAACCAGTAGTCCAAGGCAAAATTCACCGACTCTGCAAGATTGTACCCATAGTTGAACCCGCAATGGTAGCCATACGGGTACGTAATCATGAACTCGCCTTGGCGGTGCACAACCTTGTTCACTACTACACCATGCGCCTCAAGATACTTGGGCGCGACCAAAAACGTCTTGTGGCGTAAGAAGTCGTGACAGTGCCGGTACTCATCGGGGTAGAGATCCTTCATGATCTCGAAAAAATGGGCGCGAGATGACTGCGGGATGGCGTACCACTGCTTAGGGGCCCCTAGATGGATATAATTGATCGAGTAAAGGTCCTGGTCCTCCAAATGCCACGCAAAGGTTGCCTTCCAGAGGCCCGCGTAGAGGTATGCATCGTTCACCCCGGGAAGTTTCTCGTCCATGAGGTCGAGAATGTTCGGGAGGTTTGAGACGTTCCAGGAGGAGACTTTAGGGTTGAAAACAGATCCAAGGGTGTCCGCGCCATACATCGGTTCCGCGTAGTTGAGTGTCCGCCAGTAGGTTTTCTCAAGGGAGAGGCATCGTTCGGGGGTGTACTGGGAGATGTCGATATGAAAGTCACGAAGTGACAGCTTTGGGGGTTTGGCTATCTTTTGGGGCGCTTTAACAGCCTTTTGAGGTGCTTTAGGGTTCTTTTTAGGGGCTTTGGAATCAGCACTACTCAGATGATGATGATTCGAATGGGCCAGCTCGGTACCCGTCACGGAATTCGCCTCAGTACTCGCAATACTGACGCTCCGGGTACGGGAAGCAGAGGGGGCAGATGGTGTCGAATGATTCCGGGTTTTTGCCGAAGAGCCGGCGGAAACTGCGACAGAGTCGCTCGTTGTGCTTGCCCTTCTGGTTATCACGCGAGAGGCTGCCACGTTTGAGGTCGCTGGGTTTGGATTCGTTCCTTTCACACTTGCCTCACTTGTGCTGCCCGTTCGAGTCCCTCCTCTCTCCGCCGGGGGCTGGTAGTTTGCCTGCTCAGACAACCCCTTCCACTGGGCCAACGAGTACCCCCGCTGTCGTTCCACGTTCTGTTGTGCAAATACACCGTTTTGCACCATGTTGATCTGTTGAACAATCGGATTCCTGATTCGCACCGACTCGTACAACTCCTGGGTATACCCCAAGCTCTCTACCCACTCGTGCGGCGGAATCACCTTCACGACCCCCGACTCCATCCCAAACCGGTTGATCGACCGTTGGAAGTGGTAGAAGTCTTTGAACTCTGCGTAGGTCGGCGTAAAAACCGGCACGCCATCTTCATAGTGATCGGGCACGATGTCGAGTAGAGGTAGCCGCAGGTACTTGCTGTAATCGGCCATGGTTTGTATTCGTGTATTTTGTGGCTGGATTCACAATCCTTGGAGTTTGGGCCGTAAGAATACTACAGGCTAAGGATATCGTCTGTGGATATATCTCTCTGTGGATATATCTTTCTGTGTGTAGGATACCTGTTCACTCTTTTGGGGCTCGTCACGCTTTGATGTTTGTCATTTATTCGGTTAAGGTTTGCCGATCGTACTATGTGGCTAATTCGCGAGCGGCGTTTTCGGGAAATCCTAGGGAAAAACGACAAAATCGGAGGAGTGGCACGTGACGTTACAGAAAGCACGGTAATACGGGGTACGGTTTCTCTTGGTGGTTTTGGTACGAGATATTTCTAATTTTAGGGGGATAGCATTTTGCCTTATTGTTACGTTTATGGAGGAGCTGGCTAGTTTGTATTACCGCTGTCTAGTATACTGACTTTGAAGTGGTGGGGAGAGTTTCCTCTGCTAGAAGCCTTGGACGGCTACAAGCCCTTCGTCTACAGCCACCTGTGATTATGGTGGAGTTATCACTGAAATTATCCTTTTACGGTGGATCGTCCCCCTTTGTACTCAACTTGTGTGGAATTTATAATTGTTAGAGGATACAGTTAGAGTGTTTACAGCTGGCTGGAAGGTCCGGGGTTGATTGTGGCTGTGGAATAGCCGTGAAGGCGCAGCTTCTCTGGACGTGCAGCACTGGTGTGACCTAGTTTCTCAAACTCATGACGGAGAAAGATAAGCTGGGGGACTGAAACAACGTTAACTTAGCAAGTAAGCGCATACTCGTTTTAGTATTAGAAAAGGCTATGGGCTAAAACGTCAGAAAGAGCTACCTATTCCGTGTATTATGATCAGTTGCTCTTCTTACCTCCCTTGCCGCATGCGCATACGTCGCCAGCCTTACACGGCAGAGATTCGGACCTTGTTGCTTTGTGGCATTATCAAAACAAGGGAGTCCAACCGAAACTTGAACTAGCCAAAAAAAAAAAAAATCCTGATACCATTTGCTGGATATGTTTTTTTAAAACATCAAAATTGACGAAAAGGAAGACGCACTGCCCTGCCCGATCCCTGCGGTATGCGTCTACAGCCATGATTGACGGTCCTGCATGAAGCTCACCTTCAGCCTCGTCTATTAGGATTCACGGATATATAAGAACCCCCTGCCGCTGTTGAAGATTATATAGCTGAGTAGATTGACTTGTTATAAGTCTATAACCAACACCATGTCTAACTTTCCTCCTCCAGCCTATTTTTCAGAGGCTCAAGGCTCTGCCCAAGGTTCTTCCTCATCGGGCTACCAAAGACCCGCAGCTCCGCCTCCAGGTCACCGGGAGTCCTCTTTGCCAATTTCTGCAGAGCAGGAAAAAGGGGCTTTGAATGAAAAGTACCAGCAGCAGTCGTCCCAACAGAGTGCTCAGCCGCCACTTCAACAGAATTTGCTGCCACAACATCAACAAAATGCTAAGCAACCGTTCCAACGGAATGCCCAGCAACCACACCATGTCCAGCCCCAGTATTCGGACCACGATTACGAAAACCTTCTCCCTTCCATCATCCAGTCGCTTAATCGCTTACAGAACCCGGAGTTGTGGAAGGACTACGTCAAATTCACGCGCAAAATGTCCTCCTTCCGTAAGATGCTCGGCTCCAAGGCCACGTACACGGACCAGGATTTTGCCCAGATCTCGACGATGCTCATTCCCTCACGCAAGTCCCACAGTTTTTACACCTCGCGTGAACAAGTTCTCCAGGTTCTCCGCGAGAACAACGCTGTCGGAAAGCTCCAGGAGATTAAGCAGACCTTGCAAATCCCGTCTTCCTTCCCAATGGAAGAGGTGGCAGAGCTCTTGTTCTTTGACGTAGTGTTGTACGTGGACAATTCTGGCTCTATGGCGGACATTAAGCGCCAGACAGAGTTCAAGACTTTAATGTTGGATCTCATGAAGACGGTCAGCATCAAAGATGACGGGTTCTCGTTGCGCTTTATGAATAAAAATGACCAGATTCAGCAGGGGGTTTACCAAGACTTAGGCCTTTCATTCGACAATATCCGCTCCGAGCAGACCCTCAAGGATATCTTGAATAGCCCTCACGTGGGGTACTTTGGGGTCACCCCGCTTGCCAGCCAGCTCCACCAGAACGTGATCAAGCCTATGGTTTTATCGAAGATTCCAGCCAGGGGGCTCGCTAAGCCTGTGATGGTGGTTGTTCTCACTGATGGGATGCCCTATGGGGAGCTGCCACCATTCAGCGACAGAGACGGTATTGCCCAGATGGTCAAGCAGACGAGACGGGAATTGCTCAAGTATGGCTATCCCGCGGGCGCGGTGTTGTATCAGTTTGCCCAGGTGGGTGACGACAAGCCAGCAGCGGATTACTTGAACGGGTTGGACGATGATAGAGACATAGGGGACTTGATTGACGTGACAAATGTGTATGCGAAGGAGAAGTTGCAGATGAACAATGATGTGGCGGACCGCATGTTTTACTTGAAGAAGTTGGTCTTGGGACCTATCGACGAACAGTTTGACAAGGCAGATGAGAGGTAGTGGGAAAGGTGTATGTTTAATGTGCAAGTGGAGAACTTTTTTATTTGATAAGACAGCATAAAAATAGTAAATATATCAATATATATATAAATGTTCGTTGCTTTGGCGGGAGGTCTCGGTATTGTACTACACAGTCAAAAGGCTATATCATTGTACATGCTTTAACTTGGGACGCTACACTAAAGTATCGACCAAGAGCTCTTTGGTTGTGTACGGTACGAATAATCCATTCTAGTTTTGGATGTCAAGGGAGCTCCCAATTTAGCTATACCCGAGTAACAAGGTGATGCAGCAATGTTCGATCTAGCTAACCACCTCTACGGGAATACCAATAAAAACTCTAGGTTATTAGCTAGTACAAAATAGAGCCAGCCTTGGACTGTTCAGTCAAATCAAAAAAAATCGATGATGACACCCCGAACATGCACCTACACCATATGGGTGTCGCCAAAAGGATCTTCTTCGCTCTCGCTGTCGCCCTCCTCAACCCGCTGCGAGAGTGGTTTTCTCCTGGTTGGTGGTGGCGGCGGGGCGCGCTTGTTCCTAAGCACCTCCTCCATTTTGTCATCCAAGCTGGCCCTACTGTTATTCAAACTGATTCCGCTATTATCCAAGCTATTGTTTCCCAGACTCAAGCCGCTTCTGCCGTCACTGGCACTTCTCACACTCGTATTTCTTTCATCCTCACTTTCCGTCTCGTAGTACGAGTCGTCGTGTTTCTCTTTGCATGCGTCGCTGAAGCGCTGAAGCGTGGCAATCACGGAATCGTTAGCAGCAATCAATGAGCCGAGAAACTCCTCGCTATCCACCAACTGCAAATAGCGCAAGATCTTCCTTCTCAACTGACGGCAGATGTCGAACTCCGCATAGCACCGACGGTCGTCAATGGCAAGCGTCCCAGCGGGCAACTGGGTGATCAAATTTGCCAAGGCGGTGGAGTGCTGCGCCGTCTGCGCGAGCAATGTCTGAATCTTGGGTCTTTCCTTGAGGTAATCAATCTTTGGGATACGAAACTGCTTGTTGAGCTGCGCGTTTGTCTTTGGGGGGTCATTACCCAAGTGATTGCCCGAGTGATGCGAAAAACTGCTGCGGGAGCTGTTGCGGGAATTAGCACCGCTCTCTCTTAGGACGATATCTCCCTGGATAATATTCCCCTCGTCGTTAAAAACATTGTAGTTCTCATCTGGCCGGTCCCTCATGAAATCAGGCACCACCCGCCCTGAGTGGGTCACGTTGGTGTTGCGGTACCTCCGCAGCTTTGTCTTTTCTGGAACCAATTTGTAGAAATTAGAGACGCCTTCGTACCCCGAGACATCCTCGTAGACCCGCCATTCCGCGGCTAAACCGGCAATCTTCCGTCTGACCTTCCCCGGTCTTTGCATGTCGACATAGCACTGGCTCATACATGCGAGGAGCTTGTGGTCGTTGTATAACCCCCGCATAGCCTTTCCGCTACCGCCATTACCCACAAGAAGCTCGAGAACCACCAAGCTGCGAATCTGCTCCTTCACAGAGCCGTGCTTGAGGTTCTTGCGCACCGCACGCGCGGCTTCCGTTCCGCCAGACGTTGGCTGCGCGCGGATCGCGTCGAGAAGCGTCGGGAGCTGTGCCTCCGGTTCGTACTCATCATCGTGTGCGACGACGATCTGGTTGATGGTGGCGGTTACCGCGGTGTACGGGTGGTCAGTAAAAAGGCCCATAGAAAATGCAGATTTTAGATCGAGATTTAACGATACAAGATCGGGGAGTGCTTTAGATGGATTAGGTAAATGACAGGTGTTTGACGTAAGCAAGGAGGGTGCCCAGAGAAGGGGCACACAGAGAGTGATATGAGTAAGCCGCTGGCAAATGGTTGGGCAGCTGAATTCGGGGTAGGCCTTGCTTCTATACGACGATTCTGGTCGTACCGCGTGGGTTATATGAAGGAGTGAAACGGTGATTCTATCCACCTGGTAATTGACGAGGGAATGAAAACTATTTCACGATGGTGTTTTAAATGCAACTTGTGGTTTTGGAAACAGACTTTAGTAATAAAAAAAAGCCACGTTTAGAAGATGGGGTTGGGACTGAAGATAATGGTGGATTGCTAGACGAGGAACCCCTGAGCGCCTCAGGCGGAAATGACTCGGCGCTGGAGGGAACAGCACGCGCCGTGACTTCATTGTGCGGCTCGTTCAGGAGACCCAGCGGAGGAAGAGGGAAACACCGATGAGTTCAAGATTAATTGTGAATATATTGGAATAGGGCTGCTATTATATATTGGTACTGAAGCAATCTCTCTTTTTAAAATCTATCCTGGAATAACTGGTACAACCAGCCCTGGTAATTGGTGTGGTAAGATTCCTTGGCTGGCAGGAGCCCAGGGGCCAAAAACAAGCTTTCTACGGCAGGGCTGCGTATGGAATGACAAACCCACAAGGAACCATCAAGAATTTAGCCAATACTTAATTCGTGGTTTAGAAAATATGCTTTTGAATGGCCGATTCTCGCGTGTTTTAATATTTTGATTTGATTAAAATATCGTTCCCAGCGGCGTATAGTACAGATCTTAGATCTGGTGTATATTCTATATTGTCATTGGTATAAAATATATTCATTCTCAACGGCCTTCTAGGATAAAACGATAATAAAAGTGACCTGAGACAGTGGAGCCATCCACAAACCATTAAAAGTTTCTCGTCAGAAGTTTTTCGTCAAAAGTTGCAAATATGGTTTAAATAGAAGTTGTTGCCTTTAGTGTGGTTTGACAGGCCTTCATTTAGCATCAGAGCAAAAGCCGGAAAACGGCCTGGCAGTTGCTAGATAGCTATATACAAAGGAATTCAGTAACTAGGAGACCAAGCATGGGCCATCTCAAATGATGCTATAGCCACCGCTGAACTACCCTACGTCGGTGATTAGACAAGAGCACGGACGGTGCTTAGACCATCGAAAATAGCCAAAGCCGGTCTAAACCAGCAATTGACGCTACCGGTATTCAACAAGCTTGCATTTCCCATGCCATCCAGAAACCTCGACAACTATGTCATTAAGCAGGTGTTTCAGTTGAATCGCCGGATTTCTGGCTGGTTATCCAGGTGGCTCTTGTCTTGGCAGAGACACATAGCCAGACAAACAACCACCTCATCATCTCTTACACAAAACCGATCATTCCCTTCCCTGTTAAATTGCTATTATATTCACCACCATCTTCCTATTGTTACCCGTGCCAACATTTACTCAGCTCCGCTCATAACACCATTTCATACCTACGGTGACGCAAGCTCGTGGCACAAATCGTGGCGTCTCCGATATCGCCAGCCGCCACGTCACGTGAAAGCTCATCGCAATTTTCCGCTAATCACACGCCGGGAATTCGTCAGCAATATCAACACAAAACCACGTTCAAATTACCCCTTACCCATCCCCTCTCGCGCTTTTAATATTCTCCACCAACATGTCCGTTATCGAAATCACCTCTGAGAGCCACTTCGCCGAGGTCACCAAGACCGCGCCGCCAACCAAGCTCCTTGCGCTCTACTTCCACACCCCGTGGGCCGCCCCCTGTATCCAGATGAACACCGTATTCAACACGTTAGCGGAGGCGAACCCGAACGTGGGGTTTGTGGCGATTAACGCTGACGACCACCCAGACATTTCGGAGTTGTTTGACGTGACCGCTGTGCCGTACTTTGCGCTTATCAGAAACGGCACCATTGTCAAGGAGTTGTCGGGGGCCGACCCTAAGGAATTTGTCGCTGCCTTGAATGAGTCTAACAACGAGGGGACCACGGCTCCAGCCGCTGCTGCTCCAGCGACCGCCCCTGCCACTGAAAGCGAGGAGGAGTTGAACGAAAGACTCAAGAAATTGACGTCTGCTGCGCCGGTGATGCTTTTCATGAAGGGGACGCCAGCCGCGCCACAGTGTGGGTTCTCGCGCCAGTTGGTGGCGATTCTCCGCGAGCACCAGGTCAAGTTTGGCTTCTTTGATATTTTGAAGGATGATAGTGTGAGACAGGGCTTGAAGGCGTTCAGCGACTGGCCGACGTTCCCGCAGTTGTACGTGTCGGGCGAATTCCAGGGCGGATTGGATATTGTGAAGGAGAACTTAGAGGACGACCCGGAGTTTTTTGCGGCAGCAGTGTAAGTAACCAAGGGACCTACAGGTGGTATTCCGCTCCGAGTCCTTCTTTGTCCAGAAGTTCTGCCATGGCATCCGGAACGCCCTATGTAATTGTATAATAATGAAAATTTACCCAACTTGTCAACCATTTGTTGGAAACTCGGTGTGGGTAGCAAATTGAGGGACCAGAATATTTTGGAATAAAGTCCGTCGATATAGTGTGGAACCTCTTTCTGTTATTTATTTCAGGAGTTGGCCATTTATTTCGTAGTTTATCATTTGGGCCCGCATGATTCGAGGTGAATGGGAAATTACACAAACCCATCCTCTGTTTCAGCCAGGTCTACCAAGCTATCCAAAGCTAATTCACTTTGGCCTGGAAGCAAGATGTGACCCTGACAAGTCTCAATGGGTTACTGGTGGAGTGCTTATAAATGTTTCATTTCGGGAGCTTCTAAAATACAGTTACAGGTAGATCACCAGAGTCATGCTAATTCTTTACTTTAAAGGTCCAAACAATCTTGGCTTTATATACTCGCTCCAAAAAAAAAAAGATTCTTTACCCAAAAGTTCACAAACTATAAGCCCAGAGTCGATTATACCCAACTGCATATATTCGTGCCAAAAGTTTCATCAAAAATAACTATCGAGATCCGAATCACTGGACAAATCCCCAGTCACATCCCACACATCCACCTTACCCGGCGTTTTTGCTGGAGGTTCCGATAAGTGGAACTTGGGCACTTCACCCTCGGACACTTCATGCTTGTGTTCTTTCGAATCGCGCAACTGCGTGCCTGACTGGCTCAACAAGTACTCGAAGCCCTCATCCAACGAGTCATCAAAGTCTTCCTCGCTGTCGACAATGGGATCACTCATTTCCGATTCGCTGTACTCAACTGCCACATCGGTCCTTTCTGGGATCTCTTCCTCCATCGTGTCCCCGTACGGGAGCGTACTATCCAGAAGAATAGCCGTGAACCTCCCTCCTAGACGAGATTTATACCCCTGCACGGCATTTTTCAGCTTGTACCGCTTGGAATTGACAATCAAGGGCTCGTAGAAACCGGTGAGCATGTTCAAATCATCTACACTCACCGCTAATTTCCTTGTTTCTCGTTCCTTCATCAACTCCCGGCGCGTAGCATTGCGCTGCTTCATCACCTTAAAAAAGCGGCTGAACCTGAGTGTGTGTTCCCTCAGCGACAATACCTTGCTATTGACTCGTAGGCCTTCTCTGGTACCTCGAAGCGCCACATCCACAGCTTCCTCACTGGCGAGCGTGTCGGCGGCCGAAAGATGCTCGGCGACAAACGCAGCGTGCTGGAGGAGAATGCCGTCACCTGGAGCCCTCTCCTCATGGGCCAACACTGCCGCATAGTTTTCCAAAACGGAGAGAAGAAGCACTGAGGGCGAGTTGGATTTGTCTAGTACGTGCTTTACCGCGTAGTAATCGGGATGAAAGGACGTTTCGTACGGCGGGGGCGTCTCGTCGAGCACCTCTATCGCGGCAGAGTCGTATATCTTTCCGGTTTTAGTCTCAAGCAACGTTCGTAGGTTGTAGTTTTGCACCTCTTCGGTCTCTTTTCCCCCATTACTGGAACTCGTGCTGCCGTAGACAATCTTCCCAATGGCATGGAACAACCCTAGATGGTCTTCTCTCGTCAAGCTGATCAAATCGATCCCTGAATTCAGAGCAGAGTTGCCTTTGTTTGATGCCCAGAACTCCAAAGCGCTGATGGCCGAACGGATATCACCAAGCCCCGACTCCCCTAGCCTGCGAAGCACCTCTTCCGCCTCACTCCGCTTCACCACTAGTCCCCCCAGCGCGCTTTCGCTTTGGATAATCCGCTTCAAGGGCTTCAGCAAAATCGTCTTGGCGATTGGGTTGAACTTGATACGCACGCATTTCTGGTGGTTAAGGATCTGGGGCCCGAGAAGGGTCTCGGCCGTGAGGCTGGTGTCGATACTGAGAAAGTTCCGGCCCGGGGAGTCGCTCTCTGGAGGAAGCTCCGTTTCAGTGAGACAAAGCACCAACGGCGGAAGCTGTGCGGAGGTATGGAGCCATTCGGCCAAGCTCTGCACAAAGGCTGCTCTGGTAGGCTCATGATAGACGTTCGGGAGCTCTTCCACGAGGATCGGAAGCGTGGAGTACCGTGCTGCCTCGAGGAAAGAGCTGAAGTTACCCACATGGCTTGTTTCTTCAAGCTCGGGGTTTGTATACTCAATGTACCGGCTTTCCTCAGCGTTCAGCGCGAATGAGAGAAGTGTCTGGGGTCTCACCATGCTGTTGAGCAAGACCTTCACAAGTGTGCTCTTAGAAGAACCGCTGGGGCCCGTGAGCAAGAGAATTCGTCGGTTACTTTGGCGGTTAACCATTTGGGTAAGTACTTGCTCCACCACCTGGAGCTTCTTAGGATGAATAGCCACTTCGCTAACCAGTTTTGGAGCGTACTTTTCGACCCAGAGTTGGGAAATTACAGTTTTTGGCGAGCTTATCGATTGGGAAACCAGAAAACTGCATTGGGAGGTATCAATGTTTCTTTGGGACGGCGTGGGGGTGCGGAACTTCAAGGTTTTGGAGCTGATCGACGAGATGGACCGTTTTAGCACCGGCATCGCTTGGGGTCTCCGCTTCGCCGGGAGAATGTCCCCTTCCGAGTTATCTGAGACAAATTCAGAAGCGTCTCCATCTTCCTCATCAGAGTCCAAAGAAATCACCACCTTTTGTGAGCCTCGGCGGTTGGGTTTTATCTTGGGATCATGCCTGGGTTTAGTTCGGGTCTTTGGGGGCATCTAAGGGAGAATGGGCATATGAGCAGCCAAAAAAAGACAACCTAGACTGATATAAGGGCAGTACGCGGTAGGACAACCGTGTATGGTCCGTTTTTTGCCGCTGTTTTGGTGTATTCGGGTGTCAAAAAAACATATCAGATATTGCCAAATGCGGTAAGATCACGTGTAACTTATTACGCGCACGACCTAGATAATGAATGCGACCTCTCAAGGATATCCTCTGTGTCAAGCTTCAAAGGGTGGGAGTAATTTTCCCCGGCAAGGAATAAATGAAACCTTTAAACAAGAAATACTTGCTTGAGGGAGTAAGGGAATCGTGCGATTTTACAACCTTCAGGAAGAAACAAACAGAATGTTGGGGTGTTGCTTAAACTGTGGAGGCTTGATGTAGCGCCCAATCGAAGTATATGTATAAAGATTTCTTTTCGGATAATCGGATCATTCTGGCTGCGGTATTATTGCATCGAGGAGGAGTTTTGGTTTGAGCTGTGTATAGTTGTTTGTCTTAAAGGCGGCACACCAAAGGCAGCGTCCTAAGGAGCTCTAACGCAGCTACAGTATAAATCAAGACGGTAAGCTAGCAGAGACCCACCTCACAGCGTGCCTTTTTACTCCAAGCTATAGGTTCCAAACCCTTGATGGTGTTTGAGTATATTCTATTGATAAGAAGCTTTTTATGCTCGTATCCTTAGGTTACGTTATCGCGTACTCCGAATCCAGAGTGCATAAATATGCACCACAGTTTCCGCATGCTGGATGACGCAAGACGGTGACCCGCATATCTTCAGTAGCTCGGTTTACAACCACAGTACGAAACTGTGTAGCTTTTTTTTTCCCCCTAAAACTAATTTCTATGATGCCGTACTCTAAGGGTACACAATTAAAGCGATGTGAGCTTTTTTACATTACTAATCACCTTTTTCATTCGTGTATAAGTTGCCTTGTCATCTCCTGGTTGGCGCTAATTTTTCTTCAGACCAAGTCAGATTCACCATGACGGATACAGAGACGGTAAAAATTCCACGGGGCCAGGTGAGAAGAGTGGCCATTATTGGCGGCGGAGCTTCCGGCGCGGTGACCCTCGACGCATTTATCAAGGAACGGGCGTTTGACGAGATTCATTTGTTTGAGAGAAGATCGGTTGCGGGGGGCGTGTGGGTCTTGGATGAGCATATTGATCAGAAGCAAATAGTGGGCCGGGTTGCCCCCGGGGCCAAGCCAGAAGTGCTTGATCCACCGTTGCCTATCCCTGTGTTGCAAGAGGGCCAGTCCTTGGTGAAGACTCCCAGTTCACAGTTCAGATTCAGGGAAACCCCGTCATACGAGGGGATACGAACAAACATCCCCGAGGTGTTTATGACCTACTCCGACAGACCAAGGTGGAGTCATTTGGACCAACCAGAAGTGGACACCTTGACCACCAGAGACGTCGTGCAGAGCTACGTCGCTGACTATATTAACAAAAACGAAGGAGACAAAACCCACGAAATTTTCTACAACACCACCGTGGAAAAGCTCACCAAAAAAGGCTTAAAGTATGAACTCGATATCAGAACAGAGGTTCCAGGCTCAGACTTCGAGACGTGGAAAAAGTCCACTTACGACGCCGTGGTGGTTGCTACCGGTCATTATTCCATTCCGAAAATTCCTGACGTCCCGGGGTTGCAAAAGGTATACGAGCGGTTCCCCGAGAAGTTGGAGCATGCCAAGTTCTACCGCAACCTGGACAAGTACCACAACAAAAAGGTGTTGCTCATTGGTTCCAGGGCCTCTGGGGTTGACCTTGGCCACCAGATCTCCAAGGTGTCGTCCCAGGTGACGGTCTCTACCAGAAGCTTGGAGCGGTCTATTCTTCAACCCACCCCTAGTTCTTTGTTTCAAATCAAGCCAATCATTGAGCGCTATTCGGTGGTGGAAGACCGTATTACGGCTCACTTTTCTGACGGTACGGTACTTGAAGACCCGGATTACATCATCTACGGGACTGGCTACTACTTCTCTTATCCGTTTCTCAAACAACAATACCCCGATTTTGTGGCTCAGCCATCGAATGAATACCTTCCGTTCTCTTTCCAGCACACCTTCTACGTTCACGATCCGCTCATCGCTACGGTTGGAGTTCCAATCGATTCCATCAGCTTTCGTGCGTTCGAATACCAGGCTGTTCTTATTTCCCGCTTCTACTCTGGGAAGGCGGAATTACCTTCCTTGCAAGACCAATTGAGGTGGTGTCTGGCGCGCGTCATAAAGGTTTCTGGTGAGAGACCGGACAGTATCGAGAGAGGGGTCCATACCATTGGAATCGTAGAGGCAGTTAGTTATAGGGACGAGTTGACGGCTTTGGGTGGAGGTGTTTCACCCATCGGCAGCGGGAAAGCATTCCCAGTGTTTGGGGAGGCCGAAACCACCGAGATTATCAAGTTTGTACTACTGAAGGGGAAGGAGGTTCCGGAGGAGATTCAGCAAAGGGCTAAGAGCTTTGCTCCTGTGCCTGTGAATGTTTCCATTTCCGTATGAGCTGGCTCATATCGGATAACCCTTCACCGCCAAGATGTCTGCACGAAATGTTTACCGCGGGATTAGTAACTAGATTTAGTAATAAAGGTTTAAGACCCATATAAAGTGCTGTTCACCAAAGGCGGCCCGTTTGCAAGTGGTACAGATTTAAACAGATCCGACAAGCAGTACATCGATTAACTCTAACGCGGCGCCCAGACGGGCCAATTATGTTTAAAAGTGAAAGATATGGTCTATACCAAACGATAACCACAAGCTGTAATACATTGAGATCTCAGTGTTGAATGGCTCAGATACGCGTTCATTGATCTCGGATTTGTGGTCAGTAGGCACGATAGAACGTGTGGGGTCGAACTCAGCCCGTAAAGCATGATCGCGTATATCCAAGCACTAGTCTATAACTATTCGCCAGTTGTATGATCCCTAGGCTCTGGGTGCCGCCCTTCACTCCCCTAGCTTTGCGACCGCGCTAGTTTTACGTCCTGCCACCCACAACTTCTTCAATGTGACGTCCACTTCTGTGCGTGCTATGAGAGCCCATCACGCCGCACCACACGGTTTGCGCACGCCTGTAAAAAATGCTCACGCATATTTATATCAATGGCGGTTTTGCCATCTCTTCTCTCTCCCCACCCCATTGCACCATGAGCTTCAACGACCAATACAAGTACGATGCGATGGCCAACAAGGTTGTACAGGCTGACAAGTCGCTTGTGCATCGCGGTGGACAGGAGCCCCAGTCGCTAGCGGGCAAGATTTCGCTTCGAGACATGGGAAGCGCCAAAAGCGAGATACAGCCGGAAAAACGGCCAGAAGTGGCCAAGCCGGCCAGAACAGAGTTCAATTACGGAAATAACACACTATACGCCACGCTGCTCCAGCAGCTTGTGTACTACCCCACCACGCAGGATGCCCAGCTCATCTTCCAGCTCTTAACTACATGGTGTGTAAAGTATCTCCCGGACTCGCTCAACTCCGACGCGATCATCTCTGTTGCAGATGACGTTTTAGCGATTGCAAAACAGAAGGTGAGCAATCACGAGAAGCAACGTCAGTGCACAGAGCTCTTGGGGCCCGTCTCCGACGCGGATTTCCACGAGTTGCTCAGCTTGTGCGATAGAATCGTTGATTATGAAAAGGTGGTGAGCGAGAGACAGAGTGATGAGACTGAAATGGCCATTGTCTTTGAGGACGAAGAGGAAGAGGATCCAGTGGATGTTGAAGACGTGGAGACTGGAGACGCGGAGGCCGGAGACGTGGAGACTGGAGACGTGGAGATTGGAGACGTGGAAGCTTTGGGAGAGAATGCTTCCCATTTGGTGATTGGAACGTCAAAGGTGGCCAGCAACTCTCCCAAAACCTTTGCCGCTCCTGACTACGACTTGTTCTACGTCTCGCGAAAGCTCTCTGCGTTCTTCCCCGACGCGTACCGCGTCCAGGAACTTTCAACAAAGATTATGACCATGTTAGGCGATCTCTCCCTCGACGACCGCCTGCTTGAGAACGAGTTGATGGAAGTGTTTGACTTTGAAAACAGCTTGTTCCCGCTCGTCGAGGACCTCATCTTGAATAGACGGCGCATTGTGTTTGCCATCAAGCTCAGTGAAACCGATAATAAAGCGGCGGTATTTGCCGAAATGCGGGCCTTGGACTTGGATCTGCTCGTAGAAGAGTTTCAGAACCAGCCCAAGAGACGGAAGCTCGAGTCAGTTCCAGAAAAGCCCGCTCCAGAGACGCTCACCCGTAAACCCAAGATTGTCGACCTCGACGCTCTATCTTTTGACCAGAACCACGTCACGGCCAAGATTACGCTCCCGGAGGGTTCCTTCAAGCGCAGCACCAAGCTCTACGAGGAAATCCACGTGCCGCCACCCGCCAAGCCCGAGCGGCTGGAGTCGGAGCAGCTTGTGGCCATCCTGTCGATGCCGGAGTGGTGCCAGAGCGTGTTTCCGGCCAGCGAAACATCGTCGCTCAATCGAATCCAATCACAGGTCTACCCTACCGTCTTCCACACCACCGAAAACATCCTCTTGTGCGCGCCTACCGGTGCGGGTAAGACCAACGTCGCGATGCTTGCGGCGCTTCAGACAATCGACGGCTTCCGCAACCCCCAGACCAACGACATCGACCCGGGCTTCAAGATCGTGTACATCGCGCCGTTGAAGGCGTTAGTTGCGGAGCAAGTCCGCGAGTTTAAGCGTCGCTTGGGCGTTGCGCCGTACAACCTCCGTGTGGGCGAGCTCACCGGTGACTCCGTCATGACAAAGCAGCAGATTACCGATACACAGATCATCGTCACGACACCGGAGAAGTGGGATGTGATCACCCGCAAGAGCAATGACACGTCGTACACGAACCTCGTGCGCCTCGTAATCGTCGATGAGATTCACTTGTTGCACGACGAAAGAGGGCCGGTGTTGGAAGCTATTATCGCGCGTATCCATCGCAGCGCCGCTCCCGTGCGTTTGATTGGTTTATCGGCCACGTTGCCGAACTACAAGGACGTGGCGACATTCATGAGGGTCAAACCCCAAGGTGTGTTCTACTTCGACGCCAGCTACAGACCATGTCCGTTGGCGCAGCAGTTCCTCGGCATCACCGAGAAGAAGGCACTCAAGAAGCTCAACGCTATGAACGAGGCTACCTACGATAAGGTGCTCGAGGCCGCGGGCAAGCACCAGATGATCATCTTCGTGCACTCGCGGAAGGACACCCACCAGACGGCCAAGTGGATCCGCGACAAGCTTCTCGCGGAAGACAAACTCAACCTTTTCTTGAAGTCGGACCTTGGGTCGCGCGAGATTCTTAAACAAGAGGCGGAGGGCCCCAAGCTCAAGGATACCAAGCTCAAAGACTTGTTGCCCACCGGGTTCGGGATCCACCACGCGGGGCTTACCCGCGAGGAGCGGTCCACGGTCGAAGACTTGTTTGCTGAGGGCTACATCAATGTGTTGGTGTCTACTGCCACGTTAGCGTGGGGTGTGAACTTGCCGGCCCACACGGTGATCATCAAGGGCACGGAGGTTTACTCGCCGGAAAAAGGGGGCTGGACGCAGTTGTCGCCCCAAGACATATTGCAGATGCTCGGGAGAGCCGGGAGACCTCGCTACGATACTCATGGTGAGGGGATCATTATCACCACCCAGGACGATATCCAGTACTACCTCGCGGTGCTCAACCAGCAGCTTCCGATCGAGTCGCAGATGATGCGTAAGCTTGCCGATAGCTTGAACGCCGAAGTAGTGCTTGGTACAGTGACGTGTTTGGAGGATGCAGTCGAGTGGCTCGGATCCACATACTTGTATGTGCGGATGCTCCGTTCCCCGGAGAGGTACCGTGTGGGGGAAGAGTATAAGGGGGATAGAGATTTGGTGTGGAAGCGCCAGGATCTTGCTCACACCGCTCTTGCAATGTTGGCTAAGAATAAGCTTGTGGTGTACGAGGAAGAAGCCGGGACGGCCACCAGTACCTCTGGCGTCCGCTCCGTCGTACCCACCGACTTGGGCCGTATCGCGTCCCACTACTACATCAACCATGACTCCATCCACGCCTACAACCTCCTGCTCAAGCCCTACCTCACGGAAATGGAGCTCCTCCGCATTTTCAGCAGTTCTGTGGAGTTTAAATTCATCCCGCTCCGCCAGGAGGAGAAGCTCGAGGTTACCAAGCTCTTGGAAAGGTGCCCCATTCCCGTGAAGGAGTCCTCCGCCGACCCGCTCGCCAAGGTGAATGTCTTGCTCCAGGCGTACATCTCGCGGCTTAAGCTCGAGGGGTTTGCTCTCATGGCAGATATGATCTACATCACACAATCGGCAGGTCGTATTTTGCGCGCCCTTTATGAGATTTGCTTGCGCAAGGGCTGGGCGGCGCTCACCAAAACGGTGCTCAACCTCTGCAAGATGGTGGAGAAGCGCATGTGGTTGACCAACTCGCCGTTGCGCCAGTTTCCAGACTGCCCCACCGAGATTATCAAGAAAATGGAGAGCTCCCAGATGCCATGGAGCCACTACATGGCACTCACCGATGCAGCCGAGATGTCCCAGGCCATCCGTTCGGAGAAACAGGGTCGTGCGGCGTTGCAGTTAACCCGCCAGTACCCGAAGGTTGCGATAGAGTACAGCCTCCAGCCCGTCACCCCTACGTTGGTGCGGGTGCTGCTTGCAATCACCCCCGACTGGGAGTGGAGCAGTGTCCACGGCAACTGCGAGAGCTTCCTCGTGTTTGTGGAGGACGGCAACGGCGAAAGAGTGCTATATAGCGACACCTTGCTCGTGTACCGTGACTACATCGGTCAGGAACATGTGGTCGAGTTCACCGTCGCGTTGTCGGAGCCGCTCCAGCCGAATTACTTTGCGTCCGTTATCAGCGAGCGCTGGCTCAACTGCGAGTACAAGCTTCCGATCATTTTGGCGAAACTAAAGCTTCCAAAGAAGTTCCCCGCCTTCACCGAGCTCTTGGACTTGCAGCCGACGCCGGTATCTGACCTCCACGAAGAGTTTGCGCTGATGGACTTTGAGTTCTTTAACAAGTTCCAGACCCAGACGTTCCCTGCGCTCTACAACTCGGCCGAGAGTGTGTTTATCGGTGCACCTAAGGGCTCTGGAAAGACGGTCTGTGCGGAGTTGGCGATCTTCCAGCACTGGAAGCGGAACGGTGGGCGCATCGTCTACATCTGTCCAACCCAGCACAAAATTGACACCCTCACCAAACAGTGGACAAAACGGTTTGCCGCCGTGGCTGGTGGGAAGGAAATTGCCAAGCTCACGGGCGAGTTGGCCGTTGATATCAAGCTCGTCAACGCATCCCATTTGGTGCTCGCGACGCCAGAGCAATTTGACTTGGTGTCCAGACGATGGAAGCAGAGAAAGTCCGTGCAGGCCATTGAGTTGTTTGTCGTGGACGATGCCCATATGGTGGGCGATGGGTTCCGCGGGCCGGTCTACGAGCTGATCATTTCCCGGATGCGGTTCATCTCCGCGCAGATCGAAAACTCTCTCAGGATCGTTGCTCTTTCGACCTCTTTGTCCAACGGGCGTGACTTTGGCGAGTGGATCGGGTGTACCAAGCAGAATATTTTCAACTTCAACTCTAAGGACCGGTTCCACCCCGTAGAGATCCGTCTCCAGGCGTCCAGTATCTCCCACCACCCGTCCCTTCTTCTTTCCCTCATCAAGCCCACCTTTGAAACCATCCAGGCCAATAACGAGGAAAACACCCTTGTATTTGTGCCTACAAGAAAGCTTTGTGTAGAGGTATCGGTGGAGTTGTTGAAGCTTGCTGAGGGGTCACTTCTCAGGTGTGACGAGTTGGAGATCGAGCCGTACTTGAAGCGTATTCAAGACTCTACGCTTAGGGAATCCTTGTCCCACGGTGTGGGCTTTCTCTACCAGGATATGGCTCCGGGCGATCGCATTCTCGTCGAAAAGTTGTACGCGGCCGGCGCCGTGAGCGTGCTTCTTGCCTCCCGCGAGATGTGTTTTACGGCGCCGACAGCGGCTTCCGTGGTGGTGCTCACCACGCAGTACTACGAGGGTAAGGAGCACCGCTATATCGATTACTCTATCAACGAGCTTCTTGAGATGGTGGGATGTTCTCAGGGTTCTGCCCAGGGTAGTCTCCCTGGCTACGTAACTATCTTCTCGCACACCTCGAAAAAGGATTACTACGTGAAGTTCCTCCACGAAGCCCTTCCGATAGAGAGCTTCATGCCGCTTTATCTCCCCGACGCACTCGTCAACGAGATAAGCACCCGCATTATCCAGTCCCGCCAGGACTGTATCGATTGGTTGACCTTCACGTACTTTTACCGCCGCTTGCAGATGAATCCCAGCTTCTACGACGTCAAGGACTCTTCCCACTTGGGGTTGTCCGAGCACTTGTCTGAACTCATCGAAAGCGTGTTGGCCGAGTTGGTTGAGGCCAACTTAGTGGAGGTTAATGCCCAGGAAGAGGAGGAAGAGGAAGAGGAGATCACTCCCTTGAACGGGTCGATGATTGCTGCCTACTACAACATCTCTTTTGTGACAATGCAGACATTTGCGCTTTCACTTTCTGCAAAGTCTAAGATGAAGAGTATTATGGAGATTGTGACGGCGGCGGCGGAGTTTGAGATGTTGCCGATCAGATCTCATGAGTCCGACATTCTTCACCGCATCCACAACCGTTTGCCGGTAAAACACTCATCTCTGAGAGAGGACAGCTCCAAGCTCATTTACCAGTCCTCCTCAGTTAAGGCGTTTATCTTGTTGCAGGCTCACTTTCTCCGTATGAACTTGCCTCCTGACCTTGTTTCGGACCAGAAGTTTGTTCTCCAGCGCGTGTTGCAGTTGTTGTACGCTGCGGTGGACATTCTCTCGGGTGAGGGCTTCCTCAACGCAATGAACGCCATCGATTTGTGCCAGATGGTGGTTCAGGCGATCTGGGACACCACCCAGCCGTTACTCCAGGTGCCGTTTTTCACCGACAGTGTGCTCGCCAAGTGCAAGACCGCCGAGGTGGAGACCGTGTATGATATCATGGCGTTGGAAGATGACGAACGTGACTCTATCATGGCTGGGCTCACTCCCCGCGAGGTCAACAAGGTTGCGGAGTTTGTCAACGCCTATCCGAACATTGAAGTGACATGTGAGATGGGCGAGATAATTTCCGATGAGCCGTGTGACGTTGTGGTCACCTTGTCCAAAGACGAGGAAGAAGAAGAAGATGATGATGATGACGTGGTTGTGGCTCCGTTCTATCCGTCTGCCAAGCGTGCACAGTGGTGGGTTATCATTGGGGATGCGGCGACCAAGCAGTTATATGCTATTAAGAAGACGAACATTAGTGGTGCCGTGACCAAGGTCAAGTTGCAGGTCAGTGTACCAACAGCAGGGAAGCAAGAGTTGTCTGTCTGGGCTATGTGTGATTCGTATATTGATGCTGATAAAGAGATTGCTTTGGCCTTGGACGTCCAGGAAGCGAGAGAGGAAGCCACAGAAGATGAGATGGAGTAAATCCGCATTTATACCTATGATGTTATTTCAAGTCATTTTTACCTTAAGGGTTGTAGGATACACTTCGTGACCATAGCTAGTCAACCGAAGGATTCATAAAAAAATTGAGTTGAAAGCCCTGGCCATTTCTCTTGACAATCAAATAAATTATTAAAACAGTCACCCCCCACTCAGATTATATCCTTCCGTAGATTAAAAATTATTATTAGTTTGGTTTTTTATACAATCGTGCATCAGACTAGTATCTGAACTCCTTGGCGAACCCACCCTTTTCAAAGGACCAGGTGTCGTCGGAGATTCTCCCTCTCAACTCTGGGATTTCGGAGCCTGGCACGTAGACATCTTCGAACAAGATATTCATCTTGGCCTCAGGTGGTGGAGAGGCCTCAGCTTCGGCAACCTGCTCGTCGACGTACTTTCTGGCCTTCTTGTCGTAAACCTTGATTTCGTCCTCAGAAGCGATGCCCAAGTCCAACAAACGCGCCTTCAAACCGGCAATTGGATCGTTCTTGGAACGCATGTGCTGGATCTCTTCTCTGGTTCTGTAGGTGGTACCTGGGTCAGACATGGAGTGACCACCGTATCTGTAAGTTTCGTACTCAATGACCAACGGACCCTTACCGGAAATGGCCCAGTCCTTGGCGAACTTGGAACCCTGGTAACAAGCCAAGATGTCCATACCGTTGATCTTCAAACCTGGAATGTACTGACCACGCTTGTAGTAGTCAGTCAAGGCGGAGGAACGGGCCGCAGAGGTACCCATACCATATCTGTTGTTCTCACAACAGAAGATGGCTGGCAAGTTCCACAACTTGGCCATGTTGTAGGCCTCAAAGACCTGGCCCTGGTTAGAGGCACCGTCACCGTAGAGGGCAAAGGTGCAGTTTGGCTCGTTGTTGTACTTGTGAGCAAAGGCAAGACCGGCACCCAATGGGACCTGGGCACCCACAATACCGTTACCACCGTAGAAACCAGTGGTGAACATGTGCATCGAGCCACCCTTACCGTAGGAGACACCGCATCTGCGGCCCAAAAGCTCACCAAGAACCTCCTTGACTGGAGAGCCTCTCATGTGAGCGAAACCGTGGCATCTGTAAGAGGTGATGACGGAGTCCTGTGGGGTGATGGCGTTTTCGATACCAACGGCGATAGCTTCCTGACCGATGGACAAGTGACAGAAACCTCTGATCTTCTTGGCCTTGTAAAGGGCATCCGAAGCCATTTCCATTCTTCTAATGACAATCATGTCCTTGTACATCTGCAAGAGGGTCTCCTTGGAGGTTTCGAAAGACAATTCCGGAACCTCGAGGTTGTACCCCTCGAAAGAGGTGGCTGGAAGATCGATGGTGACGAGCTGAGGGGTTAGTATTTGAAGAGAAATTGCAAAAACGACAGGGAGAACAAAAGGCATAGCTCGGTTGGACCGGTCAGGATAATGGTCAAGGCAGAAAACGGTAAATTTCGGTGTTGACCATTTTCCTTCACGGAACAGCTACCACCTTGTCAGGTCGACATGGTTTTGTACATACATCGCTGGCGGTAGCCATGGATCTTCTACCGTTGACAAGAGATCTCGCAACTGGGCGAATAGAGGCTCTCAACATAGTGCGTGTGATAGATAGAGGTCAAAACGAGCAAAACAAAGGAAGAGTGAGATTTGACACCGATATATAGCCGCCCGCATGGACAGGATTCGTCCTTCCGAGACAGGCAGCGCGCCCATAACGTGAGGAGAACGAGGAAAAAGCGGGTGAGATTTGCCCGTAGCGCTGACATAAGCGGGGTGAGGGGACGGGCACGTGCATTTAGGTATGTACACGTCACGGTAAGAGCGAGCCGGAGGTATACTCCCGAAGAACGTGCATTGGAGCTGTGAAAACGTGAGGTTCAACCGCCAATCAAAGGCAGCCATAGGCTCTACGCAGCGGTTCCCAAGTTTCATTATATATGGTAATAGACGTGAGTGCTATAGAGTTTAGGGCCATGCAAGGGGGGG